GACGGACATATAGCTGAAGTTTAATCTGAGTGGTTATATCGACTGTCTAGATTGGAGACCAGACATGGATTTATTGTCATTACCATTTCATTACCTACATATAGCTGAAGTTTAATCTGAGTGGTTATATCAACTGTCTAGATTGGAGAGTGACAGACATATAGCTGAAGTTTAATCTGAGTGGTTATATCGACTGTCTAGATTGGAGACCAGACATGGATTTATTGTCATTACCATTTCATTACCTACATATAGCTGAAGTTTAATCTGAGTGGTTATATCGACTGTCTAGATTGGAGACCAGACATGGATTTATTGTCATTACCATTTCATTACCTACATATAGCTGAAGTTTAATCTGAGTGGTTATATCGACTGTCTAGATTGGAGACCAGACATGGATTTATTGTCATTACCATTTCATTACCTACATATAGCTGAAGTTTAATCTGAGTGGTTATATCAACTGTCTAGATTGGAGAGTGACAGACATATAGCTGAAGTTTAATCTGAGTGGTTATATCAACTGTCTAGATTGGAGAGTGACGGACATATAGCTGAAGTTTAATCTGAGTGGTTATATCAACTGTCTAGATTGGAGAGTGACAGACATATAGCTGAAGTTTAATCTGAGTGGTTATATTGACTGTCTAGATTGGAGAGTGACAGACATATAGCTGAAGTTTAATCTGAGTGGTTATATCAACTGTTTAGATTGGAGAGTGACAGACATATAGCTGAAGTTTAATCTGAGTGGTTATATCGACTGTCTAGATTGGAGACCAGACATGGATTTATTGTCATTACCATTTCATTACCTACATATAGCTGAAGTTTAATCTGAGTGGTTATATTGACTGTCTAGATTGGAGAGTGACGGACATATAGCTGAAGTTTAATCTGAGTGGTTATATCAACTGTCTAGATTGGAGAGTGACAGACATATAGCTGAAGTTTAATCTGAGTGGTTATATTGACTGTCTAGATTGGAGAGTGACAGACATATAGCTGAAGTTTAATCTGAGTGGTTATATGGACTGTCTAGATTGGAGAGTGACAGACATATAGCTGAAGTTTAATCTGAGTGGTTATATCAACTGTCTAGATTGGAGAGTGACAGACATATAGCTGAAGTTTAATCTGAGTGGTTATATGGACTGTCTAGATTGGAGAGTGACGGACATATAGCTGAAGTTTAATCTGAGTGGTTATATCGACTGTCTAGATTGGAGAGTGACGGACATATAGCTGAAGTTTAATCTGAGTGGTTATATCGACTGTCTAGATTGGAGACCAGACATGGATTTATTGTCATTACCATTTCATTACCTACATATAGCTGAAGTTTAATCTGAGTGGGTATATCGACTGTCTAGATTGGAGAGTGACGGACATATAGCTGAAGTTTAATCTGAGTGGTTATATCGACTGTCTAGATTGGAGAGTGACGGACATATAGCTGAAGTTTAATCTGAGTGGTTATATGGACTGTCTAGATTGGAGAGTGACGGACATATAGCTAAAGTTTAATCTGAGTGGTTATATCGACTGTCTAGACTGGAGAGTGACGGACATTGTTATCCTGCCGTTGTTTATTGCTTGTTTTATTGTCTGTAATGATGTATTACTGTGTGGCCAATACATCAGATGTTGTTTACGATTTCTAGAGGTTTTTTAAATATATGGTCCTCGTGCTTCTCACATGCATCTCCAATATCTATTTTTAACATTTAAATTATCAGGAATTAACTAACCAAGGAAACTGTAGATAAGTTTCCCTGCTCTAGTAACCTAATTAGATTTCTCTAACAACCATATTTTTACTGTTAGTATAATCACAGGCTGCTTTGATAGTGTCAGTTTCTACATAGGTTTTTTCTCAAGTACAAAGAGTAACTAAAGGAAAGTTTGTAAAATGAAAGAGTAAAGAAAAAATTCTGAGTAGTAATAAAAAATTTTAGATTTCTTTTTTTTTTTAGTTGGAAAGTTTTGTACTAGTTAACAATTAAGATTTTTAAAAAATGGAAACTGAAAGTTTCTTGCATATTTTCTTACAATTTCAAATTTTTAAATAATAAATTAATGGGAATTCTTATGCAAAAGGGTAAAAATTCAGTACAAACAAATTGGGAATTCAAATTTTTGAACTATTTCCTTATTGAAGAAAGTTCAAAATCCAGTACTAATGGTGAAGTGTGTATACTTGTAAAGGCCCCAGGCCAGGTGGATTCAGATCTTATCCCATACCACTATACAACTGGTACATGTGTGTACACAAGCCTTGGCCCATGTGTATGTATATGTACTTGTGTACCAGGCTATGACACGTTGCAGTTCTGTCAAATTATGGTGTGAAAACTCGGCACCAAACATTTGGGGAAGTCAGCTGAAATAAACCCTTGGAAGTGTAATTATTCCATGGAATCATGATTTGGTGACATTTTGTGCTCCCAGTTTGTGTTGTCAGGGTGTTTTTTCTGTGTAAAAGGATTACTGAGTCAGCTGGTTAGATCTACCAGTGTGTATGTACTCCACAGCGGTTACACCTACCTGTAAGGGAATTGTGTCTGTTCAATGAACCAGACAAAATTCTAGAAACAAACTTTTATACATATGTCACGATTCAGTTGTGGAATATTTACAATATTTTGTGATTTTCATTGTAACAAGTTTGGTTGTACATAACAAGTTCTGAATTAATCACATGTCATTGTTGAATTGTTATGAAACACGTTTCAGGAAGTTGAAAATTTGGACATGTCAGCATAGAATATGTGCTTGAAATTGATCTCGATCTGTGATATAACAATGAGTAGAAAAGTTTGTTAATTAACATCAGTCTTGTAATTCTCTTAGGACACGTACATTTATCATTCAATAGTGACTTATTTAAGTTATAGAGTCCAGTTTGAATGTCACAGGTTAATGGTTATACTAACAAGCAGTTGACATTTAACTTTGTTATAAAAACAAATTTGATTAAAGTCAGTCCTTTGTGAGAGGCTTCAAGTTTGTGGAATAAATTCTTCTTTTGAACTTCTGTCATAAAATAATTGTAATTCAGGTGCCAAGTCCATATTTTATTTACTATGAAAAATATGTTAATGAATACATAATACAATGGTATATATACCTATATATGATGTATGCTTTAGTCTAAAGTTATATAAATGTACCAACAACAATCACAAAACACATATAGTGGGTGACTGAAAATGTTCTATATATAGAGTGGGAATCACATTTCATTGTTATCTACACCTTTCTTATCTATGTATGTTAGCCATTGTTAACAGTTAGACATGTTTGTCAATTAGCTGATTCGTTTTAACATTTAGAATTCTGGAAAGGATTTCTTAAGGAAATTTGGTTCTATATAATAATTCAGTTCTATTTCATTTTTATCAAGAATACATGTAATAAGCTTGTTATTATTAAATTTAAGTTTGCATTGATTATAGTTAGCCAAGTTGAAATAAAGGAAGTTGATTTATATAAAAGTTTAGATTTTCATACCTTAATAATAATAACTTGATTTAAAAACAAATTTGAAAATTGTTTATATAAATTCTTATTTACTGGTTTTTCTTCTTTCTTTTCTCTGAAATATCATCAGATTTTTGAAGAATTTTGATTATTTTGAAGATAAAATTCATTATCAGTTCCACACTTTCGGATCGATGTATGTTTGTTACATGTTTATGTCCATCTGACATCACTTATCGAGAGAAACTGACGATTCCGATTGAACCTGTTATGACTAATTTTTGTTAGCTGTTAGAGACTTTGTTACATTTCGTGTCTACCATCAGTCATGATGAAATGTTTTGTTTAGACCTTTAACAAATTCCTGAATTTCATTCAAACAGTAATCAAGATTGAAATTTCTTTAATACCGTAATGCATCTTATAAAAAAGAATATAGTTTAACTGAGCAGAAGTTTTTCATTGTTAGGGTTCAGAGCCCACCTGTGTGTCCTTTCTTAGTTGACATTTTAGCTATATATAGAAGTTTAATACAGGTATATTGCTTTTACACTTTGAATAAGTAATATGATTCTTGGCTGTCATAGATCTCAAGTTGAAGGTCATTTAACAAATTGTTTGCCAAAATCATGAAGGTATTTTGGTGTGTATATCTTACATGACAATATATATGCTCCGGTTAATTTAGGATTAAAATTCTATACTAAGTAGTTATGTTATTGTTGATCTAGCTAGCTAGCTGACTTATTGGTGTTGTGTTTGTTCATCACTGCACATTATACCAGTATAGATGTAGGTATAGATAGGCCTAACAAGGTGCAAAGTCTATTTATACACCTGTATAGAGAAAAAGACAGTTTGATTATCAGAAACAAATTTCATTTATATCTCAGTCCTATATATAACAATGATTTGAACTCTAGACCTAAACCGTCTAAGGTATATGAGAATTTATCATTGATAGCAGATCAAACACTAGCTTTACCACCAGTAGGTAGTCTGTGTCAGAAATCTGAAAATTTGTCAGAGACTGACCATTTGTCTGAGATCAGTTGTGGTCAAGGTGCGGGTGACCTTTGGGGTCATTCACACAGTCACTGATTAGTAAGACATTGTCTCTTTATCTACAGTCAGTGAAGCTACTCCAATCAGCATACTTTATTTTACATCCTAGTGTTGAGCTGTCCTTACCTGTGTGTGCTACCTGTTGTCAACTCGTTATTGAGGTGGAATATATTTCCATCGTGGGGCTGAGGATTTTACCATTCCTGAATTGTTTTATTGAACATTATGCCAGCTACGTCTTTTGATTGATTGGATAAAATCCAACTGCACTTGTACAACAAAATCATACTATTGCAGCATTGAGCTACAATTTGAGTAATTTGACACTTCATTCCAGCCACTAATCCGCCTTCCAGCTATTGTGTATGTTTTCTGTGTCTAGTGTTATAACTGGTTGACCTTTATATCTTGGACTTGTGTACAAGTGGTCAAACCCAACATAATAAGACATGGTAGACACTAGCACAGCCTCCATCAAGGTGGCCAGAGATTATTTTAAGAGTAGTCAAAGTACTGTCCTTATACCAAACAGGGATTTTGGAAAGAGGAAGTTTATACATGTCGGCATAAATAAGCAGCCGAGCAGTACCCGTCTAGCCCAGCGGTCATCCCCGGAGCCCCCGGACACGTTGTCCTCACCCCTCAGTCTACTGACAGATCCCACCAACCCGTTCAGCCTCAGCGGAAACATGAGGGCAGGTAGGTGTCAGATTTTTTTATGCCTTTTTGTTCTTTGCTGATGTCAACACTCAAATTGTGTCAAAGTTGTATATGAAATTTTAGAACTGTTAGTGTTAAGATTTATTGAAGTAAACATGTTAAGATCCATCTAAAAATCAATGATGTATAAATTTGCTTTCAATACCAACAGCACAACCAGTTTTAATTGGCCTATAATCCCATATATATAAATTTAAATGTATCTAACATAATCTAAGAGGTTAGAAAATAAACTTTCATGCTATACAACATTAAGTGTATGAAAAGTGTTGTAAGTAGTATATAGATAAATTACCACAATTCCTAGTCTGTCCATTCAGTTGTCCCAGTTTCATTTCGTCTGAGACTGTCCTCTATGTAGACAACACCTATAACTGCCAAATCTGTGTGTTGATATCGGTTTTGATCTAAGCATCATAATGGCAGTTATAAGTGTTGTAAATAACGTTTCTTTGTAGGCAAATATATATAACATGTTTTCCTCTGAAACTCTGTCATTTATTTGTCCTGTAAATGCCGTATCAGAACAGTTAAATGGTTACATTTGTTTTTTGCATCTGGTTGCTTTTTTATCGACTGTAAAAAGCATTTGCAGGGGATATTAATTTGGGCTCCGTCCGTCCATCCATCCCTCAGAGTGCTTTTCCAAGCTATAACATAACAAAACATGCTGTATGTGTGAAGTTTGTGTCCTAATTGTGCCTTTTGCTATTGACAACATTTCATTTTTTATATTTTTTGTGTTACCATGGAAACATAGCCAAAAAACACAAAATTATTGTTATCTTTCCTTTCCAGGCTACAACTTCAAAACCATTCCACTCAACTCCTGAAAACTTTCTGTATATATTAGATTAGTGCCCTAGCTGTGCTTTTTCTTACTGAGGATATTTTATTATTAATCCTTTTTCTGTTTCTGTCAAATTTTTCAATTTCTTGTAACTTCTTGTATTACTTCTGAGTCTAGAGAGTGTTGCTTAAATTTGTTCATTGACAGGATCTACATCTATATATAAACTCTTACTGTAAGGTTGATATATATCATATAATGTTGAAGTTGAGGAGATGTAGGACATTTCATTGATACTTGATAAAAGAAGATGTTACATTTTGCACTAGTGCTTTCACTGTACAAGATCATCAGGTGATAGTAGTGGTACATTATTGAGTTTTGTCACATTGTTATACTAGTATATATACCATATTTGGGTTTTACACCAACAGCTGGGTGCGGAGAATAATGCCATGCTTTGTGGCTCCGAAAGGGCCAAGTGAGCTTTAAGGGTACTGCAGCGTCCCTTATCCATCATCTGTCAACTGTTGCTACAAAACGCTACTAGTCATACTCTTCATATAGGAATAATCAAATTTTGTCCTACTTTGGTCTGAATCATGTTTTGGTGAAGGGGAATCAGTTTTGTATAAATGGTGGATAGGGGAGGGACAGGCCCAATTAGGGGAAATAGAGCAAATTCTTTAAAACCCTACTCCATGTATAGGAATAATTGGTTTTTGCCAACATTTCGTCAGAAGCATTTTTGGGTGAAAAGAAAACAATTTTGTTTAAGTGGCAAATCTTGGCTTCCTGGGGTGGGAAGGGCAAGACCCAATATGAGAAATAGTGCAAATTCTTCAAAATCCTACTCCTTCAGTAGGAATAATTGGATTTTGCCTAAATTTGATGTGAATCATGTTTTGGTGAAAGGGAATCAATTTTGTATTAACAGTGGATCTCAACCCATAGGGACAGGAGGGGCAAGGTATAACAGAGAAAATAGAGCGAGTAATATATAAAATCCTATTCCTCATGTTGGAATAATTGGATTTGCCCAAATTTGGTCTGAAGGATGTTTGGATAAAGAGAAATCAATTTTTTATAAATGGTGGGTCTTGGCTGCCTGGGGCAGGAGGTGATAGGCTCAAAAAAAAAATATTCTTCAAAATCCTACTACTGGTGTTGGAATAATTGAATTTTGTCCAAATTTGGCCAGAAGCATCTAAGGGCAGGAGGGGAGGGGCTAACTGAGGGAAATGTTTATATATCTTTGAAGCAGTTGAGATCCCCACCCCTATACCGTATATAGTAATGCTAGGCATCAAAAGATATTAAACATATTCACAAAGTTAAGAACTGGCCCATGGGTATGGCCCAACCCCTCTGGACTTCATTTCGAGGTTATATCTGTGAAACAGTTGAAATCCCCATCCCATAACCATATATTAGAGAATTACTTGTCATCAAGCAAACACATTCATTATGTAAAAATTGACCAATGGGAGTGGCTCACCTCTAGGAACATTATTTCTGGGTCATATTTTTGACATAGTTGAGATACCAACCAGATAACCATGTAAACTCTTATCGCAGCGAAGACTATTACTAGCCATTGTACAAGGGCATAACAACCAAAAAAAAGCAATAGAAATAATGATATTTTAATTCACTGCTGAAAGGTAAAAACACTGAAAATATGTCAAGAGATTGAATTATAAATAAAAAAACTTCTAAACAAAATAGCAAACCAGCAACATACACAAAGGAATCAAAGAAACAAAAACAAAGTACACTCACTGCCATGTGTCCGGTCAGAGACGGAGTAAATGGGCCAAAAATACACGGTCACAGAAACAACTAACAAATGGGAATAAATGTGGTAAACCTGATATGAAAATGAACCAGAATCAGAAACAAAATGGGGGAATACTGCGTGTGTAGAGTGTAGACAGGTAGAAAACGTACAACTCATTGCCATAGATAAAAAAGGGCATATTTTGCAGCCATGAGCAGGAACGAAGAGCAGGTAAAGGGGCTGCCTATTGGGGGTTAATTGGGCTCTCCTTTTTGTTCATATTATATACAAATGAATGGGAATTAGTGGTAAATATGCATACTAAAGTTATGGTAATTATTACTGAAATGAAAATTGGAAATACCCAACCGATCGGCATGTATACCAATAATTGAGCGATACAGGCCCTATGGGCATCTTGCCTGTTATAAAACATGAGTTTCCATCCCAGGCAACCAGAGTGATTAAAATATAACTTGATAGGATATGTTTCACAGTTGTTTGTAAATAAATTAAGTTTATAGTTTAAAACTTGTTAACAATCACGATTTCACCAGGGAAAACTATATTTGATCAGAACCTTCAACTTGCTCCATTAAATGTGACAAATCTAAACCAGACTTTGTCATCAGAGTGTGTGATGAGAACCTGTTTAGGCTTCTATTCTCTTGACTATAAAAAGAAACAGTTGCGAAAAGGTAACAAACAATTAACGTAATAGGATGTCTATCCTCCATTGATATGAGTGTGATCTTACATGGCTGTCTCGCTGACACCTGTTGCTTCAACGTCAGCAGAGTTGTTGAACTGACACTGTTATCTCTAGGTACTGTTTATAGGTAATGTTTTAGACTACAAATCTAATTCTAAAGTACACTTATATAACACCAAACATCATCAAACAGAACTTTACAGTTGACGAATCAGACCTGTTACCTTAACATCGTCATGGTGAGTGAGTGTTATTACAACATGGTTTCAGGTTAACATACATACAGGTGTTACAATAGAAGCTGCTCAATGAACTAGTTAAGGTTAATATATTCAGTTTTGTACTTTATACTATGTCTGTGTAATTAACATGTTAAGATATTGACAGGTTTCTTCTGGTCAATACACCATATTACATTCGACCATAAAATTATTTCATAATACCACTGGTACCTTGGTAACATCTGAAAAAAAAACAACCAACACAGAATGTGCCTTAAAAAAAGTCCAGGTTTTCACCATAGATACCATGGTAGACCTACAAACATACAGGTAGTTTCTTTACCATAAAAACCATGGTATACCTACAAACATACAGGTAGTTTCTTTACCATAAAAACCATGGTATACCTACAAACATACAGGTAGTTTCTTTACCATAAAAACCATGGTATACCTACAAACATACAGGTAGTTTCTTTACCATAAAAACCATTGTATACCTACAAACATACAGGTAGTTTCTTTACCATAAAAACCATGGTATACCTACAAACATACAGGTAGTTTCTTTACCATAAAAACCATGGTAGACCTACAAACATACAGGTAGTTTCTTTACCATAAAAACCATGGTAGACCTACAAACATACAGGTAGTTTCTTTACCATAAAAACCATGGTATACCTACAAACATACAGGTAGTTTCTTTACCATAAAAACCATTGTATACCTACAAACATACAGGTAGTTTCTTTACCATAAAAACCATTGTATACCTACAAACATACAGGTAGTTTCTTTACCATAAAAACTATGGTAGACCTACAAACATACAGGTAGTTTCTTTACCATAAAAACCATTGTATACCTACAAACATACAGGTAGTTTCTTTACCATAAAAACCATTGTATACCTACAAACATACAGGTAGTTTCTTTACCATAAAAACCATTGTATACCTACAAACATACAGGTAGTTTCTTTACCATAAAAACCATGGTATACCTACAAACATACAGGTAGTTTCTTTACCATAAAAACCATGGTATACCTACAAACATACAGGTAGTTTCTTTACCATAAAAACCATGGTAGACCTACAAACATACAGGTAGTTTCTTTACCATAAAAACCATGGTATACCTACAAACATACAGGTAGTTTCTTTACCATAAAAACCATGGTATACCTACAAACATACAGGTAGTTTCTTTACCATAAAAACCATTGTATACCTACAAACATACAGGTTGTTACTTTACCATAAAAACCATGGTATACCTACAAACATACAGGTAGTTTCTTTACCATAAAAACCATGGTATACCTACAAACATACAGGTAGTTTCTTTACCATAAAAACCATGGTAGACCTACAAACATACAGGTAGTTTCTTTACCATAAAAACCATGGTATACCTACAAACATACAGGTAGTTTCTTTACCATAAAAACCATTGTATACCTACAAACATACAGGTAGTTTCTTTACCATAAAAACCATTGTATACCTACAAACATACAGGTAGTTTCTTTACCATAAAAACCATGGTATACCTACAAACATACAGGTAGTTTCTTTACCATAAAAACCATGGTAGACCTACAAACATACAGGTAGTTTCTTTACCATAAAAACCATGGTAGACCTACAAACATACAGGTAGTTTCTTTACCATAAAAACCATGGTATACCTACAAACATACAGGTAGTTTCTTTACCATAAAAACCATTGTATACCTACAAACATACAGGTAGTTTCTTTACCATAAAAACCATTGTATACCTACAAACATACAGGTAGTTTCTTTACCATAAAAACTATGGTAGACCTACAAACATACAGGTAGTTTCTTTACCATAAAAACCATTGTATACCTACAAACATACAGGTAGTTTCTTTACCATAAAAACCATTGTATACCTACAAACATACAGGTAGTTTCTTTACCATAAAAACCATTGTATACCTACAAACATACAGGTAGTTTCTTTACCATAAAAACCATGGTATACCTACAAACATACAGGTAGTTTCTTTACCATAAAAACCATGGTATACCTACAAACATACAGGTAGTTTCTTTACCATAAAAACCATGGTAGACCTACAAACATACAGGTAGTTTCTTTACCATAAAAACCATGGTATACCTACAAACATACAGGTAGTTTCTTTACCATAAAAACCATGGTATACCTACAAACATACAGGTAGTTTCTTTACCATAAAAACCATTGTATACCTACAAACATACAGGTTGTTACTTTACCATAAAAACCATGGTATACCTACAAACATACAGGTAGTTTCTTTACCATAAAAACCATGGTATACCTACAAACATACAGGTAGTTTCTTTACCATAAAAACCATGGTAGACCTACAAACATACAGGTAGTTTCTTTACCATAAAAACCATGGTATACCTACAAACATACAGGTAGTTTCTTTACCATAAAAACCATTGTATACCTACAAACATACAGGTAGTTTCTTTACCATAAAAACCATTGTATACCTACAAACATACAGGTAGTTTCTTTACCATAAAAACCATTGTATACCTACAAACATACAGGTAGTTTCTTTACCATAAAAACCATTGTATACCTACAAACATACAGGTTGTTACTTTACCATAAAAACCATTGTATACCTACAAACATACAGGTAGTTTCTTTACCATAGATACCATGGTAGACCTACAAACATACAGGTAGTTTCTTTACCATAAAAACCATGGTAGACCTACAAACATACAGGTTGTTACTTCCTATTTTATGTCTTGCAAAATGATATTGAAAGGTGAAAATTTGAATGGAATGTTCTTTTTTTACAGCTAACAAGCAGTGGGTCCATCCCCCAGAAACTTTGTTAAGGGGACACATTGTGTATAACGTTAAGGTAGGTAGATATACATTAATATATATATTTTTTTTATATGCACAGTACGCCAACACTTAGCTACTGAATCACTCTCTGAAGGTGGGCTAATTACAGGGTAGTATTATCACTGAATCAATGCCAAGGGTGGGCTTATTACAGGGTACCATAGCCACTGAATCAATGTCCGGGTGGGCTTATTACAGGGTAGTATAATCACTGAATCAATGTCAAGGGTGGGCTTATTACAGGTAACATAGCCACTTAACCACTGTCATGGGGTGGGCTTATTACAGGGTAGTATAATCACTGAATCAATGTCAAGGGTGGGCTTATTACAGGTAACATAGCCACTGAATCAATGTCCGGGTGGGCTTATTACAGGTAACATAGCCACTTAACCACTGTCATGGGGTGGGCTTATTACAAGATGTTAAAATATTGTGTATTGTCTCAAGCAATAGATATTGATGGGTTAATTACCAGACATGGGCGTCTTACCAGAATGATATAGCAATCCTTACCAGTATGATATAGCAATCCTTACCAGTATGATATAGCAATCCAAATAATATAGCAATCCTTACCAGTATGATATAGCAATCCTTACCAGTATGATATAGCAATCCAAATAATATAGCAATCCTTACCAGTATGATATAGCAATCCTTACCAGTATGATATAGCAATCCAAATAATATAGCAATCCTTACCAGTATGATATAGCAATCCTTACCAGTATGATACAGCAATCCTTACCAGTATGATATAGCAATCCTTACCAGTATGATACAGCAATCCTTACCAGAATGATATAGCAATCCTTACCAGTATGATATAGCAATCCTTACCAGTATGATATAGCAATCCAAATAATATAGCAATCCTTACCAGTATGATACAGCAATCCTTACCAGAATGATATAGCAATCCGTACCAGTATGATATAGCAATCATTACCAGTATGATACAGCAATCCTTACCAGTATGATATAGCAATCCTTACCAGTAGGATATAGCAATCCTTACCAGTATGATATAGCAATCCTTACCAGTATGATATAGCAATCCTTACCAGTAGGATATAGCAATCCTTACCAGTATGATACAGCAATCCTTACCAGTATGATACAGCAATCCTTACCAGAATGATATAGCAATCCTTACCAGTATGATATAGCAATCCTTACCAGTATGATATAGCAATCCTTACCAGTATGATATAGCAATCCTTACCAGAATGATATAGCAATCCTTACCAGTATGATATAGCAATCCTTACCAGTATGATATAGCAATCCAAATAATATAGCAATCCTTACTAGTATGATATAGCAATCCTTACCAGTATGATATAGCAATCCTTACCAGTATGATATAGCAATCCTTACCAGTATGATATAGCAATCCTTACCAGTATGATATAGCAATCCTTACCAGAATGATATAGCAATCCTTACCAGTATGATATAGCAATCCAAATAATATAGCAATCCTTACCAGTATGATATAGCAATCCTTACCAGTATGATATAGCAATCCTTACCAGTATGATACAGCAATCCTTACCAGTATGATATAGCAATCCTTACCAGTATGATACAGCTATCCTTACCAGTATGATACAGCAGTCCTTACCAGTATGATATAGCAATCCGTACCAGTATGATATAGCAATCCGTACCAGTATGATATAGCAATCCTTACCAGTATGATATAGCAATCCTTAATGACATAGCAATCCTTACCCCTGTAGGACATGCATGGATTGAACAGTTATCACCCGTGTAAAACAGGTTTAAATTCTGTCTAAATGTGATAAATATATGTTACTAGACATAATGATACCATTGGAAATCCTTTACTAGACATAATGATACCATAGACATAATGATACCATTGGAAATCCTTTACTAAACATAATGATACCATTGGAAATCCTTTACTAGACATAATGATACCATTGGAAATCCTTTACTAGACATAATGATACCATTGGAAATCCTTTACTAGACATAATGATATCATTGGAAATCCTTTACTAGACATAATGATACCATTGGAAATCCCTTACTAGACATAATGATACCATTGGAAATCCTTTACTAGACATAATGATACCATTGGAAATCCCTTACTAGACATAATGATACCATTGGAAATCCTTGAAATTATAGAAAAGTAAAGTCATGCACATGTATTTTAAATGGTGTGTTGTTTTATATAGTCATTGTTTATGATGGCTTCTGGTGGAGCCCAATAAAAGGAAACACGATTCTATACATATAGCAGACACACAAGAATATGCTGGAACATTTCCCAATTAGAGAGAATTGCTTGTACTGTAGATTTGTTGGTATTGCAATGCCGTTCAATAAATATCAATAAATGTATAAAAAACGAAATCAAGGAAAAAGTTGATGGCTGGTTTTATGATACCTTGGAGTGCAGCAGTAATGGCCTTACCTCTCATGTCTGTTTACTTTGTAGTTTCTGGGCGAGAGTGAAGTTGAAAATCCAAAAGGAACAGAGGTTGTAAAGGATGCTATCAGGAAAAGGAAGGTACAGGGTGATTGTAACTGTGAAATAACGGCCAACCTTTCTTAAATATTCACTATGTTACATTGTCTGAGATGGAATTTCAGAGAGAAGAGATACAAAGCACAATTGTTTTAATTATATTTTTACTAAGAGTGAATTCTGATTAAAACTGCAATACATGTACTCATTCTTTGTAATGTTTATTGTTGTTGGCAATTTTTTTAAATTGGTTTTTTTTTTTTTTTTTTTGCTTTTTGTTTTTATTTTGTTTTCTTTTGTCCTCCTTTTTTTATCTAAATATATATTCTCATAAAAGTGCTTCACATAATGTTGATAATTTATTTTTATAAAGCTGAATATATTTCAACAACCATTCCAAACAGGGTTTTAAAAAATGTGATTTTTTTTATAAATTCTAATTTCATTGGTGAAAGAATTTTAAGTATGCTTGTACATTTACAGTAAGACTTTATATTCATTTTTTTGTCTTTATGAAAAAGAGCAACCTATTAAATTTTTTGTGAATTTCTTTTTATTGAAGTGTGACATGTATTGGAAAAACACATCAAACATCATTCCATCAAATTTCTTGTGGCCTAAAAACACAAACACAGCTTTGTGCCTTGAACTTTGATATACCTACAGGTCACAAACCACAATGCATACAGTTCCACCTTAAGCTATGAGGCATTTGAAGATTTCTTTGATAAAACTTGTCATATTTTTGTAAGATACACCAGAAATACAAAATACCTACAGGGCTATAAATTCACAGCTGGAAGAGAAAATTTGAGTGAATTGTTTTGTCAACATGGCTCATGTCCAATTGTGAACCAAAATAAAAAAATAGCCTTGTGTCAGCTTTTATATCCTATTGTTATATTACATTTTATTTCAGTTCAATAAACACATTAAAAAAGCGGAAGGCCAAAAACCACCAAAAGTAGAGCTAACTATATCTGCTGATGGAGTCACTGTACAGGATCCAAAAACAAAGGTGAGAATGTGTTACATTGATTACAACAAAGCACTAAGGTTAGAGTGGCCAAGCAATGATTAGCAAGTCAAAACCTGAGGTTAGAGTGTGTACACATTGGTTAAAATCTAAAACTAGGGTTAGTGTGTGGTACATGTTGGTTAAAATCTAAAACTAGGGTTAGTGTGTGGTACATGTTGGTTAAAATCTAAAACTAGGGTTAGTGTGTGGTACACATTGGTTAAAAATAAAATTAGGGTTAGTGTGTGGTACATGTTGGTTAAAATCTGAAACTAGGGTTAGTGTGTGGTACACATTGGTTAAAATCTAAAACTAAGGTTAGTGTGTGGTACACATTGGTTAAAATCTAAAACTAGGGTTAGTGTGTGGTACACATTGGTTAAAATCTAAAACTAGGGTTAGTGTGTGGTACACATTAGTTAAAATCTAAAACTGGGGTTAGTGTGTGGTACATGTTGGTTAAAATATAAGACTAGGGTTAGTGTCTGGTTCACTTTGGTTGAAATGTAAAACTTTGGTTAGATACATTGGTTGAAATCAAGACAGAGTTTACAAATTTAAAGAATTCAAGTTAGTGGAGATAAAAAATTATACAGTTTTCAGTTTAAATAGGTTTGCAGTAATATATCACATTATTTCAGTCGCTGTTAGGCAAATCTAATCATATATGTTTGATGTATGATGAACATGACTCTGGACGGTCTGTATTAAGATAAAGCCTAAGGCATTGTTATTTGAGATAATCAGACACCTGTGTGTTTATGTTGTATCAAACCCCTTTGTATTTCAGATGATTATGCATCAATATGCATTACACAGGATATCATACTGTGCTGACGATAAATCTGACAAGAGGATGTTTACTTTTATAGCCAAGGCTGGTGACTCTAATCAACACTTCTGCTATGTTTTTGACAGCGAAAAGTGTGTAAGTATATTTTCATTATCTGAAATGAAAACATAACTTATACCCATATAAACTAAATAAAAATAAAGGAATTCCCTATATTTAGGTTGTCTCTATACAGCAATAGTCCCTATATATAGGTTGTCTCTATACAGCAATAGTCCCTATATATAGGTTGTCTCTATACAGCAATAGTCCCTATATATAGGTTGTCTCTATACAGCAATAGTCCCTATATATAGGTTGTCTCTCTATACAGCAATAGTCCCTATATATAGGATGTCTCTCTTTACAGCAATAGTCCTATATATAGGTTGTCTCTCTATACAGCAATAGTCCCTATATATAGGATGTCTCTCTTTACAGCAATAGTCCTATATATAGGTTGTCTCTCTATACAGCAATAGTCCCTATATATAGGATGTCTCTCTTTACAGCAATAGTCCTATATATAGGTTGTCTCTCTATACAGCAATAGTCCCTATATATAGGTTGTCTCTCTATACAGCAATAGTCCCTATATATGGGTTGTCTCTCTATACAGCAATAGTCCCTATATATAGGTTGTCTCTATACAGCAATAGTCCCTATATATAGGTTGTCTCTATACAGCAATAGTCCCTATATATAGGTTGTCTCTATACAGCAATAGTCCCTATATATAGGATGTCTCTCTTTACAGCAATAGTCCTATATATAGGTTGTCTCTCTATACAGCAATAGTCCCTATATATAGGTTGTCTCTCTATACAGCAATAGTCCCTATATATGGGTTGTCTCTCTATACAGCAATAGTCCCTATATATAGGTTGTCTCTATACAGCAATAGTCCCTATATATAGGTTGTCTCTATACAGCAATAGTCCCTATATATAGGTTGTCTCTATACAGCAATAGTCCCTATATATAGGTTGTCTCTATACAGCAATAGTCCCTATATATAGGATGTCTCTCTTTACAGCAATAGTCCTATATATAGGTTGTCTCTCTATACAGCAATAGTCCCTATATATAGGTTGTCTCTCTATACAGCAATAGTCCCTATATATGGGTTGTCTCTCTATACAGCAATAGTCCCTATATATGGGTTGTCTCTCTATACAGCAATAGTCCCTATATATAGGTTGTCTCTATACAGCAATAGTCCCTATATATAGGTTGTCTCTCTATACAGCAATAGTCCCTATATATAGGATGTCTCTCTTTACAGCAATAGTCCTATATATAGGTTGTCTCTCTATACAGCAATAGTCCCTATATATAGGATGTCTCTCTTTACAGAAATAGTCCTATATATAGGTTGTCTCTCTATACAGCAATAGTCCCTATATATAGGTTGTCTCTCTATACAGCAATAGTCCCTATATATGGGTTGTCTCTCTATACAGCAATAGTCCCTATATATAGGTTGTCTCTCTATACAGCAATAGTCCTTATATATAGGTTGTCTCTATATACAGCAATAGTCCCTATATATAGGTTGACTCTCTATACAGCAATAGTCCCTATATATAGGATGTCTCTCTTTACAGCAATAGTCCTATATATAGGTTGTCTCTCTATACAGCAATAGTCCCTATATATAGGATGTCTCTCTTTACAGCAAGAGTCCTATATATAGGTTGTCTCTCTATACAGCAATAGTCCCTATATATAGGTTGTCTCCCTATAGAGATGGTCTTTATATACATGTTTCCCTATACAGAGGTGGTTCTTATGAACAGGTTGTCTCTCTATAGAGATTGTCCTTACATGTTGGCTGTCTCTACATGTCCAGTCCACAGATGACCTTTATACACAGTTATTGTAGATTATATACAGATGTGGTCCTGATACTTGCACACACATGAGGCATTTATACAGAGTTGGTCCATGTACACAGATGACCTTTATACAGAGGTTTACTTACATCATGTCTTGTATTTATTGGCAGGCTGAAGAGATAACATTAACAATAGGACAAGCATTTGACCTGGCTTACAGGAGATTCCTAGAAACATCAAGTCGCGATTTTGATCTGAAGAAACAGTATTTGATGCTACAAAAAAAGGTAAAAGATTCTAGTTTTTATTGAGGTGTAAATGACTTGTGTATAACACTTAAATCTACATTCAGGATTCTTTCCATTGATGAAGAAACAATGGAAACAGATCTATGAAAAGTTTTAATATTAACTGGTTGGATTGCTCCATTTATATCAAAATTTGGAATTAAAAATAAGAAAGAATCAGAAAACAGTAAAAGTGGATTTTTTTCCTGATGCAAAATAATTTCCATATGTTGCATCAAATGATTTATCAGTAATCATGTATAGGATGAAATCAGCTGATTTTTAGACTCGTTCATTTCTGCCATGTCAGGTCAATTTTCAATGCTACTATTATACCAGGCATATTAAAAAGAGAGAGAACCTAGACAGGAATGATTCTTAAAAAATATAAGATAAACTTGTGATGTATTGATTCCCTGAATCTGTGTTGTAGGTTCAAAGTCTGGAGAAAGAAAACCTTACCCTGAAGCTGAGAGTTCAGGAACTTGAGAGACAGCAAACCACGACAGACAACATGAGAAATCAACAGGTGAGGGTCACCACTGTGTATAGGTCATCAAAAACAATATATATGTCATCAAAGTAATATACAATGTAATATATAGGTTATTAAACATACTATAGATCAATCATCATATACGGATCATTCAAAACTGTATATAGGTCAACAAATACAGTATATACGTCATCAAATACAGTATATAGGTCATCAGATACAGTATATAGGTCATCAAATACAGTATATAGGTCATCAAATAAGTATATAGGTCACCAAATACAGTATTTAGGTCATCAAACATACAATAGGTCAGTCATTATAAATGGATCATTCAACACTGTAAAAAGGTCATTAAACATTATATCTTAGATGATTGAGTATCTTAACATTATAGAGGTCGTTCAACAAGGAAGAATTGAAGTGTGACATATCTAAGGAACAATCTCCCACTTTTCATTGAATAGGTTTCCTGTCATTGCAGAATTATCATCAGAAACTGAACATACAAAATGATTATGTGTATAACAGTTAGTTTGAGTAACAGTCTAGTAGGAGACAAAGGAAAGTCACCATCCATTTAGAAATCCTAGATCTGCTAGCAGTGGATATGTTTCGCCTGATTCTAGAATAAGTTTTATGTAATCAACAAGGATATGTAAGACTTACATGTCTGTAGATGTAATTATAAAATAACAGTCAATGAAGATATGGAGATCTCCGTCAGCATATACGTAAATTTTCAATTTGTTTGATAAATATTTTTTAAAATGAACAGATATGTGATGGAAAAATCTGTTCATCAGGTATTGCAAATAGTAATTGAGATGAAAAATAAAGCAATTTCAGAATAATTATGTCATGCTTAGTACTCAGCATCCTGTGTCTAGTATTGATTATGTACCTCGGCCTGTATTTCTGGTTATCATGCTACAGGTTATGCATTTTTGAAATTGAATGTTATATTGATGTTGGTTTTGTTGGTTTTGTGTGATATGTTAGCATTTGGCAGGCATGAATTTTTATATTTTCATGTACAGTATATATAGCAGAAAGTCTGTTGAATTCCATGCCTAGTTGATCTTGCAGCTTGTCCAAAACATAATGATAATGCAACCTCCCCCTCCTTCCCCAGAAAATTGTCCTGTCTTATCTGAGCAATGTTGTTTTATCCCCACAACATGTCTGTTAAACATCTTTATCTGACTACTGATGTTTTAACTTTCACAATTTTCCGTTTTAAATTTATTTCTAATTCATCAAAATTCAAACCCTACTTATGGCACTATATATATGTATATTTCACCACACTGGTAACATTTATGTGTATGCAAAATTTGGAACAGAAGTTATATCCAAACCCATATATTTGTGTTGCCACTGATATTTCATATAAATATCAACATTTCATCCTCATTTTTCTGTTGGGAGTTGAAGATCATATTTATTTTTATTTTTTGAAGCTCTGTACCCAGCAGAGAAAAGCAAACAGTGTAAAAAGTCAGAACTTTAAGCATAAAAGGTTTTCCAATATCAGTTACTTTAGGTCATGAAATAAAGCCATTTTTATATAAGAAAAATCAGTGTACCAAATTTACCCAGAACAAAGCAGAGGAAGGACATATAACCTTAAATCAGGAGGTGGGCTTATTACCTGACATTTGGATTCATTGGTACGTCATCTGAAATTGCAGTAGATGTGGGTGGGCTTTTTACCAGACATGGCCTAATTCCCAAATAATTTAAGTTACATACCTTTTTTTTCCAAACAAATCTTGATTTTGAAGGTCTAGTACAGAAATTGATTTTGAATAACGATTACTGAATTGTAAGAATATTGCTGTGGAGACTGATCCAGATTAATTGTATAAGTATTTAATACTCACTGTTGCTATGACTAAGAGGATGCTTGTAACTGTTGTCAATATCAAATGGTCAATTTCAAACAGGATTCACCTAGAAATGGACACACCTCCCCAACGGTAAATAAACGGTCTTATTCAGTACCTTATCTAATAACATAATAACAAATGCACAACTTGTTTTTTGAAGTGATTTTTGCTTGATATACTTATAATTGATTTATTTACTTTGGTGTTCTTCATATTATCTAATAGTTCATTAATAATTTCTTCAATTGTTGTCTAGCCTACTACTCTTTGAAAATTGAGAATTTTCAAACTGAATAAGAAAAAAGAAAAATCAAGTTTTGAAAAAAAATATGTTTCAGTTTTGGAAATAGAAATGGAAGTGATTTTCATCATTTCAGTTGAAAACATTGGTACATGTGGTTTCAGTTATTTTCATTGATTTTATCCAGTTTTTGATACATAATTATAAAAATTTGTTATTATAAAGTAAACCATCTTTTTTTACACCAAGTACTAACAAGACTGATGGTGGAAGCAATGATTTTTATATCTGTATGAGATTGTACTCAAACCTTGGATCTATACAGGGATTTCATTACCATTCTTCAGATACACTTGTAACACAAAAATGAAACTTTTAGTAAATATTAATATGGTACAACCAAAACATGTTTTAATATATACCTTGGAAGTTAAAAAAAAAGAAAAAACAAACAAATGTCCAAATTCCGAATATTTGTGTGATTAATTATTTGAACTGTTTGTAGTATTTTACAAATAGTTGTAAATATAAGATAGTTGTACTGCAGTAATAAACATATGATATTCAAGATGTTTGATATTTAGAAACTGTGTTACAATAATTCATAAAAACTTGCGTCAGCAGATTTCAGATGAGAATGACAAAGATTCTACCATACTTACACTAGCAAGTTCACCGCCAACAGACGAGAGTACCACTGACGATCACACTAAGTCGGAGGTACAATTAAGTTATGTCCCTTGGTTCACCTCTCCTTTAACTCTCACTAACAGAACTTGATTGTTCATTGTAGCCTCTAACTTGTCAAGATTTTCTTTTTTTTGGTGTTTGTTTAGAGACTATTTACTAATTGCATGCTTAAAACTGGAGCTTTTGTTTTTATTTGATTTGCACGGTGTTTGAGTGTTAATATAAGTTTTTATTTGTTTTGTTTTTTATTTGCAGTGCTTTTGTGAACTTTATGTTTTATAGCATGTGTCAATGGAGAGCCTGTTGAATTAATTTCATTGCAAGCATGAAGAAATGGTGACTGAAATGTGCATTTCTAAAAGAGCAAAGTTAACACTGATACCATTTTATAAGGCACTGGAAAATTGTTGAGGCAAAGAGAAAGAAAATCGTGAAATATTTAAGCTGTATAGTTTGGTATTAGATTTTTTAATGCTTGGCTATTTACAGATCTATCTAATTACAAATGGTTTGCATGTTTGGAAAGACAACGTTTAATACCATACATTAAACACTTTAATATTTACACTGCTGATTATCAGGGTTAAAAGTCAATGTGTAATTGTCACTACAAGGATTTCAAATCTTTTTTGCATATATCATGTTGTTTAATGGTAAAAAAAAAGTCAGAAAAAAAACCCCGGAAAATTGTATCCTAAAAGCTAAACTAGTTACATAAAAACTTGAAAAATGAATTTATAATCCATGTCCTAAATTTGGCAGCTATTACTTATAACTCATTCACTGTTGTTGGGGACTTTGTTTACTTTGTGGATATTTTTAGCACATGAATTATTAGATCCACAAACTAATAAGGTTTATTGAGGTATGTGTATTCTCAAAATCAAATATCCTAGAAAAAAACACAAAAATTGCTCCCCACAAAAAGTCAGATTTTAAGGTATGACACTTATCACACGAGATATGTGTGGTTGACTTCAGCTAAAGGTATGTCCTGATTTTGTTTGATATAAATGGATGCCATGTCTACATAGACATTTTCACTTTTCTTACAAGTTTTTCTGTGTTTCATGTCATTTTAGATTCCATGGCTATTTAGTAGTCTACCAGTAGATAGAAACTTAATGTTGTTTTCAAACACTTCTCCTCTAAAGCAGTCTGTATATATTTTGTTATTGTTTTCACATTTATTTTTTCTACAATCTTTATGTAGTAATAAATTCTACCCTTCAAATTCTATTCATTTTCAAAGTATAAATCGCACAAAAATCACCAACAGATCAATAATATTTACATTTTTTTCATATACATATTACACAACAAAAAAAATGTTCTAAAATATTTGAAACTGTTTAACTAGAGATCAGACGTATTAACATGTCATTGCTTGTATTGCTCCTAATGATATTGAGAAATGAAAGGACTTTGCGGTTGGGAAGTGGAATTTGTTTTCTCACATAGATCAGTTTTTCACTGTAGTTGTAAATTTGTAATTTGATTTTGTGGGTTTTTGAAGTATTTTCTAGGATTTCAATTGATATATAAACTTGCACAAATTATTGTAATGCTGTAGAGGAATGTATATTAACTGTAGCTCTAAATATAAATGCTTTGAATATTTTTCGTCTGTTTATATTTTTTCTTTGGTTTTAGTTGCAGGCTGCAAAACAATCTACAGTCGGACGACGATTAGAAAATCTGTTGTTTGATGAAAACAATACCTACAGTCAGCCGAAGACCAACGGAACAAATGGCACAGTGCCCTCTAGTGGTCAAAGTTCTGGGATATGTAAGTTAAAGGGAAATAACTTGATTATGCCAAATGCAGTTTTATGTGTGTACCAAATATTGGTGATGCTGTTTATTCAGTGAAATTTATGATTGGCTAAGATTTTGTCACCGTGAGCCATTACTGATTAAAGTTTACTGTTTATATTTTTTCCCAGATTTTTCAGGTCCGAACATGCATTTTATACAGTATGTGTGTATGCTGTAAACATATTTTAGCTGTAATCTTATTTTAGCACTTTCCTCCTAGCTGAATATTTTGTGCTAAAATATAATTATGCTAATTGCAAGTTCTATATGTTGATTACAAGTAAATAGCAGTTGTAATAGATGTGCTATTCTTTTATTGCGCTAATTTGCCAAAATTCACCAAGATCTGATTCATCCAAATTTAGTTCTTCTAAAGGATATCGTCTTTGCTTCACAGTTTGCCATAACTTTCACTAGTATTTGAACAGTAGGGATATATGTATGATTTCTGTGTTATACATGTAGGATTTTTCCCCACTTTAGCAAGATTATTTGATATGAGATTCAATGACAATACACAAGAGCCTGGCTTTTGTATGAGTGCTGAGGAATAGAGGGAATTCTTCAGCCTTGTGGGATGGCTTTGCATGTTATCGTGTGGGATACACACACATTTTAGAGCCACGGGCTATTTACTCCACGCCATATTTTAAAATGTGCATTTTCACCATATCATACATGTCATTTTGTACCTGTAACCATATAATGATATATTGCTCTCCTATCACACTTGTAGGGGATTTGAAGTCACGGTATAAATATTGTACTCATAAAACTCTCAATAAAGGCTTAAATGACAAATTTCAATATACAATTTGTACAAGGTAGCAATGTCATACTTAAATGAAAATTTTTATTTAACTTGTTAAAGACATCTGTAATATTTCATTTTTATCAGATATTAATTGATAAAAAAAATCATACATTTCTCTTGCACATTGTGCAGTATTTAACACATACATATTTCACCAATCTCAGGTTCATATGTTACAATATAGATCTGAAGTTAGCTGAAAATTGTCACCTTCAGAAGTAATGAGTGTCTTTCTTAAAATAAGACCAGGAGGCCAGCATGTTGCCTCTAACATATGCAAGAGGGTGGGCTTATTACAGAACCATAACAATACAATCTGTAGATGTTTTTACTGGACAGTAATACATATAGGTGGGTTTATTACCAGGCATGGGCTTATTGGTGAATAAATATAATACTCCTATTTTCTTATGCATTTCTTATTAGCTCATTGCTCTTGACCTTGAGTAATCACAGATACATATTCCATGTTATTGTGGCCAAAGGACAAATAGAATGAAATTTATTGAATACTTTAGCAGAGAAAGGAAAAAAAGATCACAAACGATTTATATGGGAAAGGAAACCCATTCTTGTAACAAATCCACCCATTTATATTGCTATTCATGAAAATTATTAACCAGTGCTATTTTGTTGTCCTGTAATAAGCCCACCCTCAGACTTGAAGAAAGAAGCAGTATGATGGCCCCAGGGCGTATTGCAGGATTAATACAGTATTTGTTGCTTGCATGCTATTATTTGTTTCACATATTGGGTGAGTCTTGTTGTCATGACAGCATACAAGTGCTGTATCAATATTGTTGTCATGACAACAGCTTTTCTATCAATGTTGTTGTAGTGTCACCACCCCCTCCTAGTTCAAGATCAAGGACACACAGTCAGACACAGCCACTGCAAATGACATCACCCACTCAACCGACCAATAGCCAAGCAGGTAGTGGTCACATGATAGTAGATTGTACTGTTATTTGGTTTTGAGTCTAAATACAGTATTAGTTTCAAGTTTTGTTACTAAATATAGCTCAATCCTGCTAGGGTTTTTTTTTTTTTTTTAATAGTTGTTAGTTACATTTTCTACTCCTTCCGTATAATGTTTTTTTGGGAAAAGAATATATAATGTTATCAAATGAGACTACATGTATATTTGAGTTTTATAAAACTCAGTTACATAAGGTTAGGACGTCCAAAATCTAGAAGTGTCTTGTTGAAACTATAGCTATAGAGGAATGTCACCAGCATATCACCAAGACTCTCAGAAAGCACTGGTATGTCTAAGCCCCCTGTCACCATTTCTTGGCTGAATTATATGATGTGGGTGGATTCCAATGTTTATGATGTTAACAACACCTGAAAATGCCATCTCACGACAAATTGAATGTTTTTTTCCTGATTCCAATATTTACCTGCTGATTCCATTTTCCAGGTCCACTTGGAGTTTTAGTCTTGTGGTATGAAATTCTCAGGAATTTTTTTCACAAGTCCCAGATACAGTTTTGTTTGAATAAAAACCTGGACTATTTGTTTTAGAACTAATACTGTATACTTCAATCATCTACAAGTCAATAAAACAGTTAATAGGAAGTCTCAGGAACAAAACATTATTCTAAAGGACAATGTGTGGTTGTCCTCGTGTGAGTGACATGGTTCGGTAGGTGTAGCAGTGAGCTCTACAAAGCTGTTAGTTTCACAAGCTTGTTGGTGGTGGTTGCAGCATATGTAACGTAGCTGTATAGAAATTACTTTCTGAATATAATGGCTAAGTTCAGTTTGTAGAGATACTATCATCGGAAAAAATAATGATTTTCCTATACTTCCTGCAGATATTTGTAACACAATTGTTTCCTCGTTGGCAAATCAGAAGGTCTGCACAGGTGAAAAAATAAAAGGGCTGAAGTTTCTGAAATTCAATTTTAAGAAAAATTTTCGATTAATAGCACAAGAAATGTTTAAAACATTTGATGGAAGTTTTTTATTATGAATTATTATGTAAGACTCTTTAAATGATTAATTAACTGTTATTTACCTAAAAAGCAGCTGGAAAGGATGCATTTGGTGCAACACCATTTGGCTCTAACCCAGTCGGAGGTCAAGCAAAGGAAGATCCTTTTGGTATGCCTAGCTTTAATCCAAACAGTTCCATGGAAATTGACCAAGCTATACAGAATATGGATAAATTTTTACTAGATGCACAGGTATGTACAAATACACAATACATATCAATTTCTCAGCAGGTAGCTCTCCTTCTTGGTACACCAGATATTCCATCAAAATGGAACAACGAACGTCACTCATATTCCGTATACAGTTGTTATATTTGTTTTTCATTCACAAAACTCAGTTTATATGATATTTTTTCTATTTGTCTGAGAACTGTACTTTGCTGGTGTGTGACCTTTGGTTAGATAGTGTACCATATTAACTGGATGGTATCCCCAGGCCTTCCGTATGTTGTTCATTTGGATAGCCAGAGCAGCTAGTACAAAGAGAGCCCATCTCAAAATAGCTGGACAGGAAAGGGCCAAAAAAATTATCTCTTTAAGGATATAAGTATATATATATGATCAATGAAGTAATAGCAACAGTACAGACAAGTGAATTGCCAAATTTTCGAGGCAACCTGCCCTTTTATCAAAACACAAATATTACATAAAATACATCACATATTTAAAATGTAAAACAAATACAAAGTTATAAATCTAAATTGAGAGCGGTCGTGTAAATTTAGGTGTCTCAATAATCCCTTCGGCAGAAGGATGCCTAAGGCCCTTTATAGCAGACAAGAAACCATCCTTAGTTGTTGTATGTATGTATCTATATATATGTGCAATTTCGCAACAGTGAAATACCCTTTAGCCTTTATTGCAGATTAAATCTTAAGACACAAAAGTAAGTCTTCAATATATAGGTAATATACAAATCTTACATACCTTATTCTGTTTTTATATTTCTACAGGAGGGTTTCAGCAAAGGATTGTCAATGGGGTCAGAAGATTTTTCCTTAGCAGATCTTGACCCTCTAAGTCAGAAGTGATGGAAGCAATAAAGATGGCTAATAAGAATGGAGACAACCCAACTGTCCTCAAAATTCTACTGGATTGAATATTGTAAAAACTTGAAATGTTTTAGAAATATTGAAATCTCCCAGAAGATCAACAGAATGTTTTACCTGTTAGATTAATGTCACAGCTGTTTATGAATTTAACAACTTCATTCTTGGAGGTTCAGTCATTAATGTACCGATAATGCTCCTTTTTCCAGAAATGTTTTCCACCACATCAGCTAGCCATTGTTGTACTACAAATGCTATGTGTCATTTTGGTGTCATTTTTTGACAAACTAAACAGATGATCCAATCCAGTAGTGATTTTAAAGGGAAATAGAGGATTGGAAACAAAAGCAATACACTTTTACATCAGACTCAACAATAAATCCAAGTTGCCTTGATACCAAAGCTATTTTGAAAAGTTCAAACAGGGGAGGTAATCGTAGCGCTGTTGTCAATTTATTATAAAAGTTTGAATTATTTGCCATATTATGAAATGAAGTGAAGGATCATAATATTTTGTATGTCATAATACATTACAAAAAATATCTTGTTATAGAACATGTTCATTGTCTGTCCATGGCCTATATATTATATGAATACATTTGCAGGCATTTGTAGATCATATGTTTAAATTCAACAGCTTGATAATTGATGTTTTGTTAAGCCGTGTGATATGTATATCAAGTGGAAGTTCTTGTTGCACATTTGTTGCATGTGTTGGCATTCAGAGTCTGTTTTGATATTCATGCAATACAAGCTCCTGAAACTCTAGCAGTTACCTTTGAAAACTAACAATTGAAACATCTCAAATTTGATCCAAAATGCATCTGAATAATTGGAAAAGTTGTTAGTTTGTGAGCTTGACATGCCTTTTCAAATCTTTCAAATATTTTTAAAATCTTTGATTTAATTTTGTAAGTTCTGGCTTCATCTCTGATTTTTCTTCTAACCATTTCTTTTATTTTTTTTTTGTTTTTTTTTTTTTTTTGTTTTATGAAAATTTTTAGATATCCTGAAGTCAGTATCTGTTATCTTTCCTGTATCAACTTCAATTTTAATGAAATTTTATTTTTGTCTGATCTGTAGGCAGTATTTTACAAATTAGAAATATATGTTTATTTTACATTGTTACAGCATATTAGAATAAAACAGACCAGCGGGCTGGTATGCTTGTCCACAGGACTTTTTTCCTGAAAATTTTACAGCACAATGTATATTATGTACAAATTAATAGATGAGATAAAATGTAGGGAGAGTTTGAAGGCCTGATAACATAGTTAGTTTACAGCGGGACTTGATTTAATTTTTGGTAATTTTACAGTTCCTGTATCTAACAGTTTTCATGACAGATTGATATGACATACTTTATCACTTATTTTTTTGTGTTTGATCGGTATTCAACTGAGGAGGGGAAAAATCAGTAATCAAAGTATTCCTTTTTTATTTAAATGTTAACAGCAGGATATAAATCTTATGGATCTTTAGTAAGTTACTTTAAAATCTAATATTTTCTATTTTTAGACTAAACATAACACAGTTAAAGTTTCAGCCTATTTTCTCAACCTTCAGAACAAGCTGTTACTATCAATCCTAGATTTTTATAAGTGGAAATATTCCAAGGGTTTACCAGCAACCCCTAGCAGCAGTCATATGCTATAAACAATGCCTTCATCTTTCAAAACAGTGTCATGTTTGAAAATTGTCATTATGAAACAATCATATTGACAGACTAGGTGTTTATGAAAATATTCAGATTGAGATCTGCATCAATCATGAACAAGTATTTGCAGAGGATTTTCTGAGGCGAGACAATATGGCGGAAGGCATATGATGGATTACATCTTGCACTGAAAGTTACAGATATATATTATCAACAGCCTTTCAGTAATTTCTGTACTTTGATTTCAAAGTTTTATGATTCCATGTAGTTTGAGAAAAAAAAAAGTAAGTGTAGGCCTAATGTCTCTTTATCAAAAGCTTTTACAACCAACAGGGTTTGAAAAACACTATTATGAAATGACAAAATTTTAATTGGTTCTAGCTGGAAGAAAATTCAGGGTAAAACATGAATTAGCTGTAAAAATATGCAGGTACTGTATTGTGTAATGATTTGGTTTTATTCAGAAATAAATAGAAACTATTCTTAATTCTGCTACAAACTCTGATTATAATAAAACATTAAAGTTGTACACGTTTTAATGGACATATGTTATTTTACATCTAAGTTCATACAATTTAGTGGTCTCTTGTTAAAAAAAAACCCAAAAATATGAACATGTTAACAAATTATGATACATTTGATGAGATTTAGTTCAAGGTGATTTCCTAAAAATCGGTAATTTCTTTATATCAGAATTGTAGACGGTATTTATGATTAGATTTGATTTGTTTACATAATCAAATCATTCAATTATATTTACAATTGGAGACCTCATATTGAGAATTATACTAGTCCATAAAGTTATTCATGCAAAGTGTACCAGCGGAATGATGCTATCATTAAGGTTACATGGTATGTATTCATCACTTCAAAAATGATTCCATAGAACATAAATAAGTTTTTATTTCGTTTGATATCAAAATTCCCCCCTCCCACCCCCCCATTTTTTGAACCATTTAATTCCCAAATCTACAATAACAAAACAGCAACTGACTTTCTAAATTAGATACATCTGAATGTCAAGAATGTCCTCACCAGCATCCCAGAAGTTGTTTTAGTGTCACTGGCGGTGTTGTCATATTAAATACTGATGTCCTGCCTGCAGTTTTCTTTATTCCCAGTAGATCGTCTTTCCATGTTTATAAAAATTTTCATTAGAATTTTAAAAGTTAAAAGGCCATAACTAAATAGTAAATTAATAATAACCAATGACAAAGTGACTGGCATGTTATTATAATACAACTACATACTAAATCACAGTCCTTAGAGAAAGTGACTGGCATGTTATTATGATACAACTACATACTAAATCACAGTTCCTAGAAAATACACATATAAAACAACAAATGTCATAGACATTGATTAATTAATGATAGCCAAGATATTTTCATTTATCAAGATAACAAACCTGGATAGTCTACAATTATCTACATAAATGGACAGGAAGGCCAATTAGAAGTTATATTTCGATCTGAAGGATCTGCTCATTGAGAAATCTAGGATTTTCCAATTCTTGGTTCAATGTTCCTGTGGTTGTATATGACTTTAGTGTAGTTTATTACCTGTAGTTAATTTGTACATGTTTGTATAGTGATTTCTATGTAAAGCTCAAATATAGGTGCTGCACAGATAGATTTAATGTATATATAAATGTTTTACACCTAAAGAAAAGTTTGTGTTTTAATTGTTAAAAAAGAATTAAGAATTCTGCTAAAGATGGTTGTTGATTGCCTAAAAAGAGATACAATTAACCCAACTCCCTCCCCTCATCCTCCCCCCCCCCACCAGTTACCTCCCCCTCCCCCCACCAGTTACCTCCCCCTCCCCCACCAGTTATCTCCCCCTCCCACCACCAGTTACCATGCAATTAAGATATAGTTGAAATCAACATTTTTACAAGGAAACTTTCAAACTAAGGATGTTTTGATCCCAATGAAGTATTGAATATGATACACTTTACTATAGGGGTAAAGTTTTACTGATATTAATGTTTAGAACATTTAATAGCCCATCATCTTGTATGGAAAGCTGACTTTAGTTTTTTGTACTGATTCCACCAGTCTCTGGACTGATATTACACAAAGATATGTCTTCTCGATACTGGTTTTAGTGTAGGACAGGTACATCACAGAATCATTGATGATATTACTGACTGATATTGGAAATATTTATTGTGAATATCGTTGGCATTAGAATATGTGCAGTAACTGTGTGACATTGAACAAACTTAATATGTCATTATGTATGATATTTATACCACACATGGGCTTGACACTGATTGCCAACTCAAGTATTTTATAAGTGTCATAGCAGTTTGAAAGAAATGTCAAGTACCTGTGTTTCTGCCACAGAAAAAAAATTAATGCTGGAATAAAAAAAATCTCTTTACAGTCCAATATTTTGCAATGTAGAGAATACAATTGTATAAGTAAAGTGATGGCAGATAACAAATGGATACTCTGGATTTTCAAGAAAAATTTTTTTTAAAAAGTATTTGTACCACAAAGTGCCAATGTTTTTTTTTTTTTTTTTTGTTTTTAATTTTGGACATTGTCTGAGCCCACTTTTGAAATTAAATCATGAAACCCAAACATTTGAATGTATAATTATTCTATAGTGCTCAGTGAAACCAGTTCACTTAAAAGAAAGTGAAATATTGGATGGAATGATAATTTGAAACTTTTTGAAAATGAAAAGTTGCTTCATTTATCAATATTTTATGCATAATAATTTGTAAAAATTGATTTTAAACACCAGGAGTCCGCTGTCACCCATTGCTTACATAGATACAGTTTTAAAGTTAACACATTCAGGAAATGAGAGTAAAATTTGAAGAGTCAATTACTGGTACTTGAAAATAATTGTTTATAAATAAACAAATAGTTGTATATATATATATATCTTGCATTCATTTGTATTTTGCTATATTAATATTTTTACAGCAATATTCATTTACATATTTCATAAAAAATGTAATTTGCTAAAGCATGGAATCACAAGGCATCTTCATACACACAATCTTTTAATGATAAGTATGTATGTATATAGCTATTTTAAGAGGACCAATATTCATTAAGTCAATTTTAACATTCAGCCTTTTAATTTGTGAAGCTTTATTCTTTACTATTATGTATTCCTGGTCTTGTTCTATCAATTATTTCACATTCATAAATTTTATATACTGAAAAACCATCAATTATTGTTGGGGTGTATGTTATATACTGTAAAACCTTCAATTATTGTTGGGGTTTATTTTATATACTGAAAAACCTTCAATTATTGTTGGGGTTTATTTTATATACTGAAAAACCATCAATTATTGTTGGGGTTTATTTTATATACTGTAAAACCTTCAATTATTGTTGGGGTTTATGTTATATACTGTAAAACCTTCAATAATAGTTGGGGTTTATGTTATATACTGTAAAACCTTCAGTTATTGTTGGGGTTTATTTTATATACTGTAAAACCTTCAATTATTGTTGGGGTTTATTTTATATACTGTAAAACCTTCAGTTATTGTTGGGGTTTATTTTATATACTGTAAAACCTTCAATTATTGTTGGGGTTTATGTTATATACTGTAAAACCTTCAGTTATTGTTGGGGTTTATGTTATATACTGTAAAACCTTCAATTATTGTTGGGGTTTATTTTATATACTGTAAAACCTTCAATTATTGTTGGGGTTTATTTTATATACTGTAAAACCTTCAATTATTGTTGGGGTTTATGTTATATACTGTAAAACCATCAATTATTGTTGGGGTTTATGATATATACTGTAAAACCTTCAATTATTGTTGGGGTTTATGTTATATACTGTAAAACCTTCAATTATTGTTGGGGTTTATTTTATATACTGTAAAACCATCAATTATTGTTGGGGTTTATTTTATATACTGTAAAACCTTCAATTATTGTTGGGGTTTATTTTATATACTGAAAAACCTTCAATTATTGTTGGGGTTTATTTTATATACTGTAAAACCTTCAATTATTGTTGGGGTTTATTTTATATACTGAAAAACCTGTAAAACCTTCAATTATTGTTGGGGTTTATTTTATATACTGTAAAACCTTCAATTATTGTTGGGGTTTATGTTATATACTGTAAAACCTTCAATTATTGTTGGGGTTTATTTTATATACTGTAAAACCTTCAATTATTGTTGGGGTTTATGTTATATACTGTAAAACCTTCAATTATTGTTGGGGTATAATTTCATTGATTTTGTGTGTACTCTTTATCAATTAATTCATCTGTCCAAAAACTGTTAATATAGGTATAAGTAGACTTATATAGTTTTATTTATCCATGAAATCAGGTGTCCATGAAAAAAGGGTTTTCTTGGAAAACCACAAAAATTGAACTGTATGAAAATATTGGATTTTACAGAACATTGAAATCAAATTTAAATATGATGTTCAATAAGATAACAGTTTACCCTGTTTTATTGGTAAGATGTTTCAACTTGATTTTGATCAATATTTAAATAAAAGGACAGATTTGTTGCGAGTTGTGTCTGTTACAGCTCAGTTGTTTTACTCTAGAGCAGCCCTAAGCCAAGTCATCATGACCAAAATCAAATCTGAAAGTAATGTTTTAATCAAGATTAAGTAATGTTTGTCTTAATGGAGTGCATGGAGTGTACTGAATGCATTGTTTGCATTTTCCCTATTAAGGGCGTACACTTTCATGATATATGAATTATTTTACTTCTAAAGTCTGGAAATTCTTAACTCTTTTTGTTTTGGGTTTGCCTTATGCAACGGAAATTATTTTTTTAAAGGAGGTAAAGTTCACAAAAAGTGGCTGATCTCCTAAAGTCTGCAGATGTGTTGTATTTTCTCAAATTTTCAATATGTGTGTTATTTTATTCATGAATTGTGATCATTGTTACAACTCGTTATCATTTAGTAATAAATATTTGGTTGATTGTGAAACACATAAATATATAATGTCAACAGGTTATCAAAGTGTTGTTTGTTTGTTCTTCTCAAATGAGATAGGTGATATTGGAACATTGTACACTAAACCCAAAGATAGGTGATATTGGAACATTGTACACTAAAACACAAAGATAGGTGATATTGGAACATTGTACACTAAAACACAAAGATAGGTGATATTGGAACATTGTACACTAAAACACAAAGATGGGTGATATTGGAACATTGTACACTAAAACACAAAGATGGGTGATATTGGAACATTGTACACTAAAACACAAAGATGGGTGATATTGGAACATTGTACACTAAAACACAAAGATGGGTGATATTGGAACATTGTACACTAAAACACAAAGATGGGTGATATTGGAACATTGTACACTAAAACACAAAGATGGGTGATATTGGAACATTGTACACTAAAACACAAAGATGGGTGATATTGGAACATTGTACACTAAAACACAAAGATGGGTGATATTGGAACATTGTACACTAAAACACAAAGATGGGTGATATTGGAACATTGTACACTAAAACACAAAGATGGGTGATATTGGAACATTGTACACTAAAACACAAAGATGGGTGATATTGGAACATTGTACACTAAAACAAAAAGATGGGTGATATTGGAACATTGTACACTAAAACACAAAGATGGGTGATATTGGAACATTGTACACTAAAACACAAAGATGGGTGATATTGGAACATTGTACACTAAAACACAAAGATGGGTGATATTGGAACATTGTACACTAAAACACAAAGATGGGTGATATTGGAACATTATACACTAAAACACAAAGATAGGTGACATTTGAACATTGTACACTAAAACACAAAGATAGGTGATATTGGAAAATTACACTAAAACACAAAGATGGGTGATATTGGAACATTGTACACTAAAACACAAAGATGGGTGATATTGGAACATTGTACACTAAAACACAAAGATGGGTGATATTGGAACATTGTACACTAAAACACAAAGATGGGTGATATTGGAACATTGTACACTAAAACACAAAGATGGGTGATATTGGAACATTGTACACTAAAACACAAAGATGGGTGATATTGGAACATTGTACACTAAAACACAAAGATGGGTGATATTGGAACATTGTACACTAAAACACAAAGATAGGTGACATTTGAACATTGTACACTAAAACACAAAGATAGGTGATATTGGAAAATTACACTAAAACACAAAGATGGGTGATATTGGAACATTGTACACTAAAACACAAAGATAGGTGATATTGGAAAATTACACTAAAACACAAAGATGGGTGATATTGGAACATTGTACACTAAAACACAAAGATAGGTGATATTGGAAAATTACACTAAAACACAAAGATCCTCACAATTCATTATCTTTTCTTAATAAAGGAAACTCAACATTACAAGGACATTTTGTGGAATGTCTACATGTTTCAGTCATATAGCGACCATCATCAGGGCACAGAATTGTTTACGTCTGACACTTAAAGTAACTATGATATTCTAATGTCATTGGAATGATTGGATTTTGTCCAAGTTTAGTCTGAAACATTGTTGGGAAATGGAGAATCATGTTGTATAAACATCAGGTCTCAGCCCCCTGGGGTGGGAGTGGCTCAATAGGGCAAATTCTTCAAAATTCTACACCTTGTGTTAGAATGATTGGTGTTTGCCCAAATTTGGTCAGGAGCAATTTTGGGTGAAAGGAAATCAATTTTGTATAAGCGATGGAACTTGGTTGCACAGGGCAAGAAAGGAGAGACCCAATAGGAGAAATAGAGCAAATTCTTCAAAAGTCTTCTCCTGTAGGAGTGAATTTGGTGTGAATCATGTTTTGCTGATGGGAAATCCTGAGGCAGGAGGGGCAAGGCCTAATAGGAGAAATAGCACAACAAATGGATATTGCCCTTATCATGTAACCCGAGAGAAAGTCTGTGATATTGCCCTTATTATGTAACCCGAGAAAAAGTCTTGTGGTGATCTATTGTGAACAGCTTTGTGTGTGTGTCATTCGTCTGCAAACAATTTAACATTTTCGACTTCTCCAAAACCCCTGAACCGATTTTAATGAAATTTTGCAGAAACTTTCCCTTGCCTAAGATGAAACAAAATAGTGAATAATACTGTCCCCATCCCACAGTGGCCTGAGGGGCGGGGCCAAAAAGTTCAAACTGACTAAAATTTTCCAAAATCTTCTCAACACCCATATATGGTAGAACCAAATAGTCTTCATGGATGAAAGCATCTTAAGGTGCTTTGCCAATACTGTGAATTTTATTGCCCTACGTCATTTCCATTGGAAATATTTCATCATATTAGAATGTTGAGCAAAGGATGATGGCAAGATGGTATGTATATATTGATCCGGACTGACCCCTAGAGGCTGATGGGTATAGGGCCAAAAAGGGTCTAATTGACTTGAATTTTGAAAAAATTCTCAATGCCCAAGTATAGTAGATTAAATTCTCTTTATGGATGGAAGCATCTTCAGGTTCTTAATTACCAATATGGGTCTTACATTTCTTCCTGGGAAGGTTAACTTTATTGTAATTTTATAGAGAAAATTGCATGTTTGAGCAGAAAGTGTATTACCCCCTTGAAAAAGCTTAGTAAGAATGATTTATATAGGATGACAGTTATGATGGTATGCATGTATTGACACTGGCTTACTATCATCAATGTCACAATTTCTGTTTCATTACACTTGATAACTACTTACCATTTAACCTTTATTAGCAATATTGCTTATCTCAGGTGACCATCAAGGCTGTTAGGCATCTTGTTTTGTCAAAGCATTCTTGAGGGAAGGGAAACCACACTTGGTTAAACCGTTGGTTTTGGCCCCCTAGGGTGGTTCAACTGGGGAAAATTGAATTCTTAAAATCCCACTTCTCTTGCAGAAATGATTTGATATGAAGAATTAATTGTCTTGCTGAGCTATTTGGGACAGAGAGTTGGTATCCAATAGGAAGATGTGTTGTGTAGTGTGTGCTTGAATATTTAGAATTTCTTTTCCTTCATTTTCAATGAAGTGATTTTAGCCAGGTGAGTGGTAAAGGCCATAAGGGCCTCTTGTCTTCATGAAAAATTGTGCACTTTACACACTGGTTTTACAATAGCAAAACAAACCATTTATGAACTCTTTCTTGTAAAGTTTTGCTCTGGGTTCAATATCCAATACCAATGTCAAGTTAAAGTCATAAATGAAGTGAAAACATCATAAATGAAATAACCAAACTTTAAAATCTGACAAGACATTTATATTTCATGCTGTTTTTATTTCTTTCATAATAATCTTTCATTTGTGATTTCAATCATTTCATGTAAAATTAGTACAATATATTAGTTTCTTCATCTAGTGTTGACAGATGAGGGATATATCTCCAGAAGATGGATATTCTATAAAGGTGTTTCAGGACATCTACAGTACAATTACTTTTTCAATTAAACATACACCTAATATTCTGTAACAGTGTTTCATGAAATCTACAGTACTTATCAAAAATAACATATAAATTCTGTCTGAAATCTGCTCTTGTGAGTAGTAGTGATGATTACGTTGTTTTGCGAGACTAACACCATGAGAAAACAGCAAAGAGCAGATAACTCTGAATAACTATGAAAGATAGAATATAGAACATCTTCATGCTGAGGAGGTTGTAATTTTTGAGGGGTTCCATTTTTCACAACCAGGTATTTTCAAAGATGGAATTAATCCACAAATAAGATACATTGAAAATAAAACTGAGCAAAATAATAATATTGGATGTTATAACTTCAGCAAAGAATCACTTTGCATCAAGCTTTTGATAATACGGCAAAAATTTTTACCACTGGGGGGAAAAATGTGGATGTGTGAATCACCGGGTAAAAAATTCAAAACTGGAACTAATTTTCATAAGAACCAGAACTGGACATCAATTACGATTTTATCCCTAAGTAGTTTATCTGTTGTGAACTAAAATTACTCAATTACACTGCACCCATTTACTTGGTGGTACATGTACTAATATGTACAGCTTCACGACTCAGCATTTCAACTATTTACACTCAAAATGTATATACTATATTACAATATTCACTGCACATGAATTTTCAATGAGCATTTCAGATACAAAATGTTCCCAGCAAGTTATATCAGCATTTTGTCAACAATATACATATGCATTATGTATAACAATATAATTAGTGTTGTTACAGCTTATGCTGATGTAGAAAAGTCATTACACATAAAAATTTTTGTCAAATTTATATATCTTATGCTTTCTTCAGCTGGAAACCTAGAAACCATGTCAAACAAAATTGAACTACAGAATGGAACTAACCTGTCACTACCTAAAACAACACAATAAAATTGTGTACGAGATAAAGGCTCATTAGACTCATGCACAGGCTTAAAGAGGCTAAATAGTTGTAGAAATCGTTATTATTTATATCATCCTGATTCATCCATGAAAATTCAACCTCCTGAATATTGTACATGTATAAAAAAAATGCCCAAAAATTGTTAAACATGTATTTTAGATCTTGTTAATCAATAAATATTGCCACTGTTTCTAGAATCAACAAACCTATATGAATTAAAGCTAATTACATGGGTTACCTAAGTGTCCCTCAATAAAATGTTACATCCAATAATAAAAGATACAAACTAAAACTGATTGTACTGGTACCATCCTCGATACTCCAGGGGTAACTATCACACTCTGCCCCACTAAAGACTAAAATAATATTTATCGGTATAAATGTAAGATGATGAGAAACTATTGGGAGAACTAGTAACTGAAGGCATTCCAAACACTAGATGAAATCCTGAGGATGAAATCACTTAATATCACTTTCTGAATCAGACAACAATGTAGCACATATTCCATCCACATTTTATATTGATTTTACCTGTTCCACAGAACAGGCCTCTTCCTAAGGTCACTGAGGTACACCAGCTATTCCCCTTAGAGTTCGTACTCTCCCTTTCACCATCACACCTGAAACTGCCTTCAGATCACCAGTGTACACCAGGTATTACCCTGTGGTAAAACAATACATAAGGTGTTCCTAGTAAGAACCCTCCCACCCCCTTCAAAAGGTCACAGAAGTCTTGTTTGCTGTAGACACGGATGGTTTCATCATCACATTCTAGCCACTGTTCCTCGTACATCTGTTTTGGCACACTCGGATACTTGCCTCCCAGTCCAGATCTCTTTTCCCCTCCTATATGTACAGATGGAGACTCCACTCCTAGTCTGGACTGACCGCTGCCCAGAACACGGACATAAGCGAGGTAGTGACCAGATGTTAGAGTGACCCCTGCATGTGTGACCAGGCCATACAACATATACCTGGAAATTTAAAAATATTTAATAATTAAACATTCAGAAAATATCCAATAGTTAAATGAAATTTTCAGTAGGATATCTATAATGTTTTGCCAATAGAACATAAGTTCTTATAACACAACCAGAAGATTAGGCATTTTGATGACTACATACATCAATGCTAGTACGCTCCACACCGGTCATTTGTCTGATGAAGGTGACTGTGTAGATCTCGTAAACTACGTACGTCAGTGCTAGTATGCTCCACACCGGTCATTTGTCTGATGAAGGTGACTGTGTAGATCTCGTACACTACGTACGTCAGTGCTAGTACGCTCCACACCGGTCATTTGTCTGATGAAGGTGACTGTGTAGATCTCTAGTACGCTACACTACACCGGTCATTTGTCTGATACACACTACATCAGTGCTAGTACCTCCACACCGGTCATTTGTCTGATGAAGGTGACTGTGTAGACTCGTGTACGTCAGTGCTAGTACGCTCCACACTGGTCATTTGTCTGATGAAGGTGACTGTGTAGATCTCGCACACTACATACATCAATGCTAGTACCATCCACACCGGTCATTTGTCTGATGAAGGTGACTGTGTAGAGTGTACGTCAGTGCTCCACACTGGTCATTTGTCTGATGAAGGTGACCGTGTAGATCAGTCATTCCACACCGGTCATTTGTCTGATGAAGTAGTACGCTCCACACCGACTGTGTAGATCTCGTACACTACGTACATCAGTGCTAGTACGCTCCACACTGGTCATTTGTCTGATGAAGGTGACTGTGTAGATCTCGTACACTACGTACGTCAGTGCTAGTACGCTCCACACTGGTCATTTGTCTGATGAAGGTGACTGTGTAGATCTCGTACACTACATACATCAATGCTAGTACGCTCCACACTGGTCATTTGTCTGATGAAGGTGACTGTGTAGATCTCGTAAACTACGTACGTCAGTGCTAGTACGCTCCACACCGGTCATTTGTCTGATGAAGGTGACTGTGTAGATCTCGTAAACTATGTACGTCAGTGCTAGTACGCTCCACACTGGTCATTTGTCTGATGAAGGTGACCGTGTAGATCTCGCACACTACATACATCACTGGTCATTTGTCTGATGAAGGTGACTGTGTAGATCTCGCACACTACATACATCAATGCTAGTACCATCCACACCGGTCATTTGTCTGATGAAGGTGACTGTGTAGATCTCGTACACTACGTACGTCAGTGCTAGTACGCTCCACACTGGTCATTTGTCTGATGAAGGTGACCGTGTAGATCTCGCACACTACATACATCAATGCTAGTACGCTCCACACTGGTCATTTGTCTGATGAAGGTGACCGTGTAGATCTCGCACACTACATACATCAATGCTAGTACGCTCCACACTGGTCATTTGTCTGATGAAGGTGACTGTGTAGATCTCGTAGGTCATTTGTCTGATGACTGTGTAGATCTCGCACACTAGTATGCTCCACACTGGTCATTTGTCTGATGAAGGTGACCGTGTAGATCTCGTAAACTACGTACGTCAGTGCTAGTACGCTCCACACTGGTCATTTGTCTGATGAAGGTGGCCGTGTAGATCTCGCACACTACGTACGTCAGTGCTAGTACGCTCCACACTGGTCATTTGTCTGATGTAGGTGACCGTGTAGATCTCGTACACTACGTACGTCAATGCTGGTACGCTCCACACTGGTCATTGGTCTGATGAAGGTGACTGTGTAGTCATCATCACTCTAAGCTTCTACCGGTTGTGTTATAAGAATTTCTACTTACATTACCAACCTGAAGAAAATGTTCCAAAATATAATGTTTTGCCATCACTTATCTCAAAAGACAAAATATCAATGAAAGAAACATTAGTGGAAGAACTGACCAAACTTTTTGTTTGGCTGTTTTTGTAGATCATCTGACTGGAAGACAAAGAGCTACTGCGGCAGTAAGAAAAGATAATCAACTAAAACAATTCTATGTATTACTGTAGAATCACATAGATTTGTGGGGTTCATTTTCAATTGTTTTCTCAAAAATCACTATTACATGGACACTTGATAGATAAAGCTCAATAAATTTACATACTGGTATACTTCTGGGACATATTAATTTGAGGACTAAGATTATCCTCAAAATAAAACACAAGACGCCCATATGGCCTGTATCACTCACATGACTTTATCAGACTAAAATTACCTCATTTAAACTAAGAAAAAGAAATTCTAAATTTCTAAGCATACAACACACGCTATTTCAAGGACCAATCCCTCTGTCAGGGGATCAGGCGAATGACCAATGCTTCATACAAAATTGAGACAAAATCCTGCTATTCCTACAAAGAATTCAAACATTTTAATTTTTTATTAAATTGCTCTACTTCCCCTAAAAATTGGTTCTGCCTCTCCCATCCCATGGGGCTAAGACCCATCATTTATACAAAATCAATTCCGATTTACTTAAGAATCCTTCAAACGAAATTTGGGCAAAATCCAATTATTCCTATAGGAGGAGTATAGGATTTCAAAGAATTTGCTTCATTTTCTCCATTGGGCCCCACCCCTCTGGCCCAAGGGGATGAGACCTACTATTTATACCAAAGTAATTCCCTTCCCAATCATAGGATTCCTCAGTGGTAGGATTTTAAAGCATTAGCTCTATTTCTGCTATTCTGCCCCACCTCTCCAGCTCCAGAGGGTCAAGACTCACAATTTATACAAAATTTGCTCTTTTCACCCAAGGATGCTACTGACCAAATTTGATGAAAATCTGCTAATGGTATGTCATAAGCTAACCAGTCCTTTGGACCAGGTGAGCTAAAACCTATTCTATCTAGGGGAACAGAAGTAAAAAGAAATATAGAAATACTAATAAGGAACTGCTTTTACTTAAGTACAGTGTTGTTAAAAAGTTCAACAGAACACCAAGATAAAATGGCAAACATGCATGTCAAGTGTGAGGGTAAATTTTAATCATTACTGGTGTCAAGTGTCCACACTGAAAGATATATTATACACTGTTTACCTGTGATCAGGACGGCTACATGGGCTAGGACACTTGTACCGAAGGCAAGGTAAAGACAATGGGATAGTCACATGGTCGTTGATCTTGGATACATAGCCATACAATCTGTAAAAATTACATTTTTTCAGTTTATATCACTTCTTTTTTAATGTTTATTATTTTAGTACCATATAACTGTGAAGATACAACAGGTATAATTGTGTATTAGTGAATTATAGACACATAGAATCTTCATAGATTCACAGAAGTTCTAATTAGGCAGAACATCATGTCATAGAAGAACTGGTGGATTGTAACATGGTGCTATGAGATCACAAGGATAAATGAAATATTTCTAAATTCTTGGATAAGTTGGAATCAAATAATACAGACAGCATCTTTTTACTTAGAGTCGTGTATCACTATATATAGCAAAACTACAAAACTGAACAAAATGACAGACCTAGATTACTGCTGTGATATATAGTAATTAACACTACTCCACACAAAGATCTATCGATCCTAAAATAAAACTTGTTAGGTTTTGAATATGTCATTAAACTGATTTTGCTATTACCCAGATGAAGCAGAGAAGCGCTTCAGATGAAGAGATAGAACGTCAGGCAAGACTTCGTAGTGGAGAGAACGTTCTGCCTCAACATGTCGTATACAATGATCGCAGTAATACTTGTTCTCATCTCGCAGACGTTCCACTTCTGAAAATGCATCCATCATCTTCTTAAGACATGAGTTGTCTTCTTCATCTGTTAATTATTTGAAATAAAAGATTTAAGTATACGATATATACAGAGAGGAAAGCATCCAACCCACATAGGTAATAGTCCAAATGCAAGATTTTGTATTTGGAAACTGAAACTGATGAAAGCTCTCTGAAAATGATTTGATTGGACACAAAATGTTAACAAAAGACAATAATTCTGTAATTATGGGATCACAGGCCCTGAATTTGGTATACTGCACATTCTCTGAGTATGACTAATGTATACACTAAGTTCCATGGCCCTAGTTGTAATGCATGCAAAGCTATGCTCATAAGACAAAATTTGAACAAAGGGCATCTTAGCTTTTGTATGACTGATGTACATATCAAGTTTCAATATATATTGTATGATCAATGTATACACAAAGTTTCATTATCCTTGCTTAAATACACGCAAAATGATGCTCTGGACAAGATATTTTAAATTAAGGACAATAACTCTAATAGAAGGGTGAAGGACCCTAACATTGGTACACTGCCCATTGTCTTAGTATGATGAAAATGTATACACAAAGTTTCAATATCCTTGCTTGCTTGCTTGTATTATGTAAATTGTGTGTATGATTAACAGTGCTGTTTATTTATTTAGTTAGAAGTAAGTGCTGTTTGCTTATTTAGCTAGAAGTAAAGTAGGGGTACTGTAATGCATTAATTATTACCTACATGTAAATATCAACTACCATAGATACAATAAAATGAGAAATTCATCAATACTGCATTTTTTTGGTTTGTCAATGCAATTTTTTTTATCTTTTTTTACATATAATTTTAATAGAATAAAAGCTTACATCATATTTTACATTTAAATATTTAGAAATAAAATACGTAAAACATTATCTAGAAATATGTATGCATAGCCCTGAATACATCTGAAAACACGAACACAAAAATCGACAAATAAAATAAATATATATTTGAGATAGACACAAAATCTTAACAAAGAACAATAATTTTGTAATTAAGAGGCTATGGGCTCTGAATTTGATACACTGCACATAATTTTAGTATCATCATTGTATACAGAAACAGGGTTTTCCATAAGAGCTGGTCGGCGGCCAATTTGACCATTTGATCATTTGGCCGCCTACACCAATCCAGTTCCGTACACGACTACACGGCTCGGGTCAGCTTGTTTCACCCACCTCCTACTTTCACTACACAGCCTACTACTAACAAAATTATGGAAAACCCTGCAGAAAGTTCCATAATCCTAGTTTGTATGCCAGCAATTGAAAGTTATTCTCTGGATACTAAATTTTAAAAGTGCACTTACTCTGTAACTGAGAGGTTGAAGACCCTAAACTTGATACACAGCACATCTTCTTAGTATGATAAATGTATACACCAAATTTCATTATCCTTGCTTAACCGTGGGCATTTTATTAATACATGTAAAGAGCTAAATATTCCCATAGTGTTAGTGCGGAAATGTTTCATAGATGTTAACAAAAAAAATCTGAATACACTTGTACTTCTAAATCTCTGGTACTGTCTTCTAGTGTGGCAATGAAAGGAGATCCTACAAGTTTTTAACACTGAAAAAAATCGTCATCATTTACCTGACTCCATTTCTTCGTCATTATCATCCGTTTTTTCCTTTCTCAAAGGAACAGAAATATCATGAAATTCCTCGATGCGTTCTCTTGAAAATTCACATTCTAGACATTTCGTCCTCAACATCATTTTCCCCATGAAAAGATTTTCCACAAAATCCACCTTACTTGTCTTTGGACAAGGCTTTACACACATAGAAGGAGAATTAATCAATCTATGATGAGAAAAGTTCAGTTTCTGCTTTGCATTTCCTACCACAATCTTATTTTTAGAAGAACTTGGTGTTTTCATAGGAGACAAAGTTTTTTCTGCATAATCTGCATTCACTGATTTTTTTGGACTGTCACATACATGATCACATTTCTCTAGTTTCAGCAAAGGCTGACGATCTTGTTTCGGAGAATCGCTAACATCAGCCAATACATTTTCACATTTTAGTTTCTGAAACTCAGATGACAACTGAGAGCTGTCTTTTTCAGACACATCTTGTTTTTTTAAATCAGTTTTTTTGCCAGACTCTTGATTACCCTTAGAAGGTGATACATTTAATTTTTTGACTGGATTTGAATCTTTTGGAGGGTCCACATGTTGAGCTTTTCCCCCCTTGAATGCTGCTGTAACTTTCCTCTTTTTTGACTTGACCAAAGAATCCTTTGACATGGAGACATCTGATGAGGTTTCCTCCGAGAGGTTGCCACCTTTTACTGACCCTTTACAACAATTATTGTTCTGATTGTTCCTTAATGGAGCACCTCTCATTCCCAAACGTTTACAGGGTTTGTCTCCAGTAAGCATACTTATAATACTTGGCTGTGACGAACACTTTGCACTTGATTCACCTTTGTCTTCACAATTGAACTCCCCATTTTTAATTGCTTTGGCTGAATTTGTCCTATTTGAAGTCACATCTTTCACTGTTTCACATAAACATTCTGCTTTAACCTCCTCAGTCAACTTCGTGCCTCCTCTCCGCCTCCTTAATAAAGGTTCCCCATCTGTCTCGTCTAACTTTTCAGATTTTTTATCCTGGGTTTTCTTTAGTGGAGAAGGTGGTTGTGTTCGTTTTGATCTTAATCTTTTTGGCAAGACAGAAATCTTTACCTTTTCTACATCTTGCTTAACCTCAGCCTCAACATTCAAGCCCTGTTCATTTTTAACACCAATTTTCACAGCAACATCAGGTATGTCAGCTTCCAGCACATCCATCATAACCTCAGACAGGGCTGTTTTTGCAGATTCACTTTTCTCTATCTCCTCCAAAAAGTCTGCTTTTGGAACTGATTTTGCAACATCTACAGCAGGAAGCTGAACTACTGTGTTCACAGGATTTGGCACATCTTGTTTCAATTCCATTTTCTCAGACTTGTTGACACTTGAAAGAAACTTTTGCATGATTGGGTTGAGGGGACCCTTGGACTGAGGTAAAGCACTGGGAGGTAGGCGACTCTTGATCTTTTTAATTTCTTTGACAGCATCCTGTAAGTAACACAGCATACATCTGAGGAGTTCCTGGGCGTCATGCTGAAGATTCCCTTCAAACATTGGGTTCAGCTCTCTGAAAATATAAATAACAAACTACAAATTTAATTGTGTGTTACAAATTCTAATATGAAACAAGAGTTGAAAAGTTTATAAAAAAGTGAAAAAAATTACAAAAATTATAAATGACACAGAAGACTGAAATCATTTAAAAAATAGTAAAAGAACATGTTGAAATAATGTCTGTAGGTCATTAATCCCCCTGCTCCTGTACATATAAGTTTGATGATGTGATCTTTGACCTTTATATCTTGATCAGTGACAAGAGGCCTAGTGGCCTTGGCAGTCACCTGATATAAGCAATATTGAATGTAAAATACTAATAATTCTTCCCTTGAGGGAAATGACCAATGTTATGCTCAAAAATGTGATTTTTCTATGACAATTACAGTAAAGTTTAAAAACACTTCCTCCCCAGGAAGAAATGTGAGGCACATATTGGTAATTAAAGCACCTTCCATGCTTCCAATCATACAGAGCATTTGATTCTACCATACATGGGTGTTGAGAAGATTTTTAAAATTGATGTCAATTTGACCCCTTTTGGCCAATGGAAACTAAACAAATTATGCTCCATGAAGAGTGTTTGATTCTACCATCTCTGGGTGTTGAAAAGATGATTTTTGAAATCCCAGTCAATTTCACCACTTTTGGCCCTGCCCCTCAGGCCCCTGGGGGATGGGGACTGTATAATTCACAATTTAAGTTCACCTTGGGCCAGGGAAAGTTTATGAAAATTTTCAATAAAATCGGATCTGGAGTTTTTGAGAAGAAGTCGAAAATGTTCAGTTGTTTACCGACCCACATCACAAGAAGATGATGTCACAATTTGACACATGGATGATAGAATCAATATATTTAGACATACAACAATCAAACCATCCTATTTTGGCCAAAAACACCAAAATTTGCAAACACCAAAACATGCTTTGACTCACCTGAGAGTGTTAAGAATCTTGTCAGGTTTCAGTGCCATAGACATCACGTCTGAGGTGGCAACTTCTGGGTGTTTCACTTCTCTCCTTTCCATACATTTGTAAAGCTGTTGATTACAATACACATCAACATTTAATGATCAATATATACATACAGTGATCCGTTTCATTTCCTAAACAACAGAAATAAAGACGATTGTGTATAATGAGTTTTTTCCATTAATGTTCAATTTTCACCAATAGACAGCATGAAGGATATTGTCCTAGCAGATTTTAAACATTTCCTGAGTTAAGTTCCTAATTGTCTTTTTTAAGAAATACCAGTTTTCATAAAAATGGCAGATTTGCAATATTAGAGTTATATAATCCCATCATATGGTTTTGTACTTGTCAAAGGTTTATAGAATACTGTACTAAATCTGTATCAAAAACAAGATAACATAAAGCGTGACATTATCCCCAGTGCCACATTTTTTAAAAGATAGACACACAATCATATACAACTGAAACTTGTTATCTCAAAATTCAAGGGATTTTGTTTCCTTGGTAATTTAACAAATATAAAAAATGAAATGTTGTCAATAGCAAAAGGTGCAAGTAGGGCACTAACTTAACATATATAGAAAGTTCGGTGAAGTTCAGTTGAACAATTTTTAAGTTATTGCCCATATAATCCCTTGGAGGGATGCACACATATACACACAGGAGCCCAAATCATTATCCCCCACTAAATGTGTTTTGCTGGGGATGACAAAAATATAAGTTACAGTATTGACAGTAATGATCAATATAAAAAAAAACACACTAGACTTATATAGAACAAAACTTGATCAATACTGTCTCTCAATCAATATTCAAGACAATGAGTTATATTCAACAGTGTTACTATGTATTGACTACAGGGATTTGCGAGGACAGCAATTCATTCAAACAAGAATTATAGTGATATTAATATGAAAAAGAAACTACACATGTTGGTAATCAATAAAAAATATCACCCCTTAAACCTGTACTCTACCTTGTGTAGGTGTTTCATCATATCACATGTCTGGGATTGAGATAGCTCATAAGACAAGTCCTCCTGTAAAATATAACACAAACAAAATATATTTACTTCAATAGCTGATCATATCATTATTTAATTTCATAACAAGTGGAGTAGAATGATTTTGGATGACAACAGTCCTGTACTTCTTACCATTCAGCTGCCAAAATTGATCACCGAGAAATTTTAAGTATGTATGTATGCCTCTACTAGGATTCTAAGCTGGGACCTCTGTTTTACTAGTCTGATACTCAACCAACCAAGCAGAAGAAGTTCTCTCTACCCAAACAGTAAATTGAGGCTAGCATTTTACCAGGATTGCATACTCCCCCTCTCGGAAAGAACTCATCGTCAAGTTTTCCAAAGGTTACAGCAATGCTTATGGGGCCTCATAAGTATCATTTCTGAGTCCCTAGAGGGGCGCCATTGTAACAGATGTCATTATTAATTTCAATGCCTCCGAAACCTGGGACCTCTGGCTGACTAGTCTGACACTCAACTGATCAAGATGAAGAGAAGTTCTCTCTAGACAAGTGTGATATTGCAGCATTTCACCAATTCTATTTTTCCATTTTCCAAAACTTAAATCTAGTTTGAGGTTTTTAAACATTGTTGCTTGAGGTTAAATGGAATACCCGAAAAAGTTGTGGGTTAAAAGGGATACCAGACAAAGTCTTGAAAAGTAACAAGACTTACCTGTAATTCTTTAGATGAAGTGTCCTGTTTTTGACATTTTTCCACATGTACAATCTCACTGTGTAAGTCATCTAGTCCATCCAGAAAGCCTGGAGTAAACCTCAGAACCTGTAACACACTGTTCAGGAAACATGTGTTGCCTGTAATAGAAATACAACAATACCGTTACATCCAAAACCTTTTCATCTAGCCTGGAAAATTAAATGACAACTCTACTTCTTGTGCTTCACATATTAATTTTCTAAATCTAATTATTTTTTGACAAAGAAGATTATTAGTGCTATTTCATAAACATGTTTCTAGAGGACAGGAAGACTCTCAAGTAGGAGAACAAGTGTTCCGTGACTTGTCAATTGTACTGTTTCCTTTTTTCTCTCCTTAAATTGAAATCTATAAATGTTTTTCCTTTTTTTCTTTAATTTTTTTTTTTTTTGTTAATTTGTGTTTTTATGGGGCTATTTAGTCAAGTTTGTTTATTTTTTTTCTAGTTACAAATTCATCTGTACAAATGTAGTTCAAAGCGTAGAAAAGGCCAGTGGCAGAAAGCTCACCCTCGAATAACAATAGGAGAGCAGTATGAAAGGTGGGACAAGTTCAAGAAAGAAAACTTTTTCCAAAGTAATGAAGAAGTTGTGAAGACTCTCCTAGACTGTTGTTAAGTGATAAGTTATCATCGCTAGTGATATTTTTTGTATGTCAGACCGTGTTTGGCAGATTTAAACCATCAAATAACAATTCACCGTGAATTCTAGTAACTTTTATATGTTTCACAAAGGTTTACCACACAATTTCTTTCATGATTTCCTTATGAAAGGAGTTAACGTGAAATCAGACACACCATTTCGTCACTTGATGCCTCCATACCGCGTTTCGCGCTGTATTTGGATTATTTGCGGGGGCTTTCCCAGATTTTAAACTCACCACAGTGGACATCGGCTATATAGGAGAAAACTATTATGTACAGATTTGTTAGTCTGGGCACATATATTTTCATTTCCAGCTGAATAGAAAAAACGTTGCTTGACTAACAAGCCCCTTTAAGGTCAGCATCCCTTCAGTGGAAGACATGGGAGAAAACTCATAATGCTGTGATGTGAAATCTGTTAACTTTTTACTATACAATTTTTTAACAACAGTCATCTACAAACTTATAATAATTCAGTGTCATTATCTATGTACCAGAATAATTCCAACATTGTGAGTGAAAATGGCTCACCAAATGTATATACACATGATGTTTTTTTTTCAGAATTTTATATCATCATAACAGTTTAATTCTTGAAGATTTCAATTATATATTACTAAATCACTCAGTTTTAAGGTCATTAAATAGACCCACTCTGCTTGACAAAATTAATCAATTTTTCAAAATAATCAACTTCAAACACAGAAACAAGTACTAATTGTAATGGGGACCATTACAAATGACCCCCAAATGACCTCTTCAGCAGTAAATGATCACAATAATAAAATCGGACAATATCTAAAATTTGGCAAAATTTTGACCACAGATGACCGAATGAAAAATGGACTACGCCATTTGCTCCTAGTGCCACGCCATTTTGCTCCTAGTGCCACCTAATACATATATACCAATTTTCACGAAAATTTGGCAATATCTAAAATTTGGCCAAATTTTGACCACAGCTGACCGCTCAGATGACCGATTGATGGCCAAATGAAAAATGGACTACGCCATTTTGTTCCTAGTGCCACCTAATACATCTATACCAATTTTTACGAAAACCGGACAATATCTAAAATTTGGCCAAATTTTGACCACAGCTGACCGCTCAGATGACCGATTGGAAAAATTCAAGTGACCTGCACTCCACCTCGCATGTATGAATATGTGTGTAAAGTTTTGTTAAATTCCATGCAATAGTATTTGAGAAACACGTCGGAAACCTCGTCGGCGGAAGAAAGGTGGGGGGGACATAATAATCCTAAAGAGATGATAAAACTTTGTACATTGTTGCTGCTGGTCAATGCCTCAAATAGAAATGTGTAATATTGAAAGTTATCCTTTTTCTTCTTATTTCTTCTCTTTGCTGGGTCTACAAAAAATTTGCAGCACTTTTGCAAAAGTAACATTTCCCACTATTTGCCTTACCTAAGTTTTCAAGGGAGCTAACTGCAGGCACAACCTTTTCTTCTTTATCTGAAGTGTCACCAGTTTCACCATTCATAGACAATTCTTGAACTTCTTTACTTTCTTCTGAAACTTCTCTACAAATCAAATTTTCAATACAAATTAAATAGAAAAACAAGAGGCCCATAGGCCCTGTATCACTCACCATGTTTAGCTTGTTGAAATTTACTTAAAGCACATGTTTCTAATTCCCAAATTAGCACTTCCATATTAATTACTATATAATCAGCATTAAGAAATTGTAATTAACGCAATCCCATTTGAACACAATACTTTCAGCGAGAAAAACATCAAAATAAGACTAATGGTAAAATAGTTATGTTTACAGCATGTCTCTATCTATGGGACTACTTAAAATTTTGAAAATGATGCTTAGTACTCAGCTGAAAAGAAAATCAGTCATATATATCTGTTAAAATACATGCACTTTTACAAGTCAAATTTATCAATATATTCAGCAGGACGTAAAATTTAGTTCAATTCTACTTTGTTTAATTCCTTTGTTTTTTTTTTGTGATTTTTCTTGTGAAGGGTAGAGGGGCTTTTAAAAACCTATATTATCAGCACAATGACATTACTTTGTCTCATTTTGGATTTCATCTTTCCTATCAGAGCCAGACAATCTCTCTTTCTGTGATGTTCCAGCTTTTGGAAACCTCAGTGACAGTCGGGGACGTTTTCGGAGTGGACTTGGTGATTCAGCATCTGCAATCACCATCTTGTACAGAAATTTCTTAAGCACTAAAACAATTTTCTTTAGAACGAGTCCTCACATATCTGAAACATAATTTTTAACAAAATCATACATATCCAGATACTGAATTTCACTAAACATAATCAATTTTACTTGAGTTTTGTAATGATTTTTCGAAATAAATGCATCAGTCAGGCTAATTGCTTTTTTTATAATGGTAAATAAAAGTGGTGCAATGAAACAGGTAATGTGTAATTATTTATATAATTAGACTGGAGTGGAAACTATTACTTCTGTTCAATAAAATGGATTAATTGTCTAGCCAAGCAGATCGGTATATTCCCTTCATTATCAACATTTTGTCATGAATTAAGTTAAGTTAAGTTAAGTAAAGTTAAGTAAATTAGCTTATGAATTAAACTTCATTACCTTTAGATTTAAAATCTACATAAGTTTCAATGATCTATAAACTTAATGGCAGATGCAAAGTAACATGCATAAGAAGAGTTTCAAATAATACTGTCACGATTTTTCTTTACTAAATATCCTTGGCGTATCCGTTTTGGCATCAAGTTAACATAACGATATCATATGTCAGGTTCCAAAACACAAACCGATGTCTAACACGACACAGTAGATACAAATGATTGCTATCAATGTGAAACTTATCTTAAAGCTAAAGGTTGTTCATACATAAAACTACATCGCATTTTGGACAGAAACGACGCCTCAACAAGGCTAGGTTTCAACTGTATTTCAGTGCCTTTTGCTTCCTTTATTCAGGATCAAGGCGACATCTGATTTCGCGCGCAAAAGTAGGCCAGATTTTGGTACATGCACCACCATGACATACCATATTGTGAAATATTATTTGACCGTTGTAGTGGTTGAAACATACCGTGTGATTCATTTACAACAGATAACATACCTATCATGCCTTTGATAGGACGGATCTCCGAAAAACTATCTTGAGGAAGTGGACGACAATCCAAACCACCCGGGGAAATCAGCGAAGCTGGCATGTTGTGATTTAGTTTCGTAAATTATAACACATTCTTAAAAGCATGCATGTTTAGTGATCCATCGATAACTTATTCATTTATGAAATTATTCGTCAAAAATCGAATACCTGTCCGTTAAATGCAGCTATTTTTAGAGGTAAATATATATCATATATAAGTACGAAAATATTGGATAAACGGATTTCCCGTAGTTTCTCTTTTGCTGACGTTCGTACTAGGTAGACGTGCAGAAACGATAGAAAGTTATATTTTCTGATCATCTTTATTGTCGCTTCTCTACAGAAAAAAACGTAAGACTTTCTTTTTATTTAACAATGTGTTTTATTTCATACAAAATTATTTGATATTTTTTAGCCAGTCAAACATTTTAGTTCGAATACATTGGCATGCTGACTGATGATTTTATTTTAGCGATTACGCCGCAAAATTATTAGCATAGCAGCATGTGACCATGCGTTTTTTGGTAAATAGCTGTACCATATGTTTTAACCACATATTTCAAATGTATGAATATGTATGAAGTGTTTATCAGGTGATGCGATAGCCAACTGCATTCCAAAACATGGCTTTATTGATTTTTTCATACTAAATATTATTCCCAAAGATCTTGTGATCGCTTATCATATGCGGGCATGACTTTTTACTCAAATACACTTAAATACACTTTGATATGCTCAAAGACATCTAAAATTAACTCAAATACCTTCATTTTGGTCCTACATAGACTTTATGAAAGCTTTTAACAAAGTCCCACATCGCCGATTATTAAAAAAATTAAAAGGATATGGAGTAAGTGATCAGGTCACCAGTTGGATAAAAGACTTCCTTAATAACAGATGTCAAAGAGAATAAGTGAATGGAGAATCGTCTATGTCTTACCCGGTAGTAAGTGGTATGCCACAGGGAAGCATGTTGGGGCCAATTTTGTTTGTAGTCTATATTAATGATTTACCCGAAATTACAAAATCTATATCTCCACTTTTAGCAAGGAAATTCTGCAAAGTGAACTAAACAAACTTGAACAATGGTCATCAAAATGACTACTCAAGTTTCACCCGAACAAGTGTAAGGTACTTTTAATTAACTCGACAGAAAAAGGGAAGTATTACATGACAGGAACAATCAGTGAACAAACAGAACTGGAGAACATAACATCTGAAAAAGACATTGGAGTAACAGTGGATGAAAATCTAAACTTTAGAACTCATATCCCGTTAGGTGTAAACAAAGCTAATAGTATTCTTGGATTAATCAGAAGAACGTTTATATATTTTGATGAAAAGATGTTTAAACTATTGTTTAAGGCACTTGTAAGACCCCATCTAGATTACGCCTCAAGTGTATGGAGTCCATATAGGATGATGGATATCGAGTTGATAGAAAACGTCCAGAGGAGGGCCACAAAACTGATACCTGGTTTTAAAGAACTGTCATATCCTAAATGCCTGCAGAGACTAAAATTGCCAACTTTGGAACACCAACAGGAAAGAGGAGATCTAATCAATGTATTCAAGATAGTGAGGAATATTTATGATAAACACGTTACAACCGATATATTTCAACTGGACACTGAAAGTAAAACAAGGGGAAACTCATTGAAAATATATGAAAACCAGTTTAACTTGGATATAAGGAAAAACTTTTTCAGCTTTCGCATAGTAGATGCATGGAACAATCTGCCGCAGCAGGTTATAGATGCAGGAGATATAGAGAATTTCGAAATACTACTAGATAACCACTGGGAAAATACTAAAGAATAACTTTATATATATGGACATGTTAATTGTACACCAGAAGTATATCAAATTGTAAAATATTGTAATATCATCTGATATGGACATAGAGGCTTACATCCTGTGTCCATTATTTATCTTATTAAAAATCATATTAAATGCAACCATTGGATTGTTATTATAGTGTTAGACTACCAATAGACTACCTATATGTGAAGATGATTTTTTGTAATTAAGGGACCTAAGGGGATTAACTCCTAAATGTTCCATATTGGTTAGACTACAATGAGCATCCATCATATCATCACTTGAACTACTATATTAGGTAATTGATACTTTAAATGAAAGCAAGAGTGACATGTAATTTTATGAACCACCTGTATCACATAGTCATTATGATGAAATTGAAAAATAGATAAAATCATGTCTTTTTTAACCTGTTTGTGAGGACATACCTTATTACCTGTTGTTCCATGTTGTTAATGCTGTGATCAGCTGTAGGGGTTTTGATGTTTCCAAATACGCCTGTCCAGCTCATTCCACAGGTGCTCAATTGGAGACATGTTGGGGCTATATAAGGGTCATTTCAGAGGCTGAATGTTGTTTGCCGTGGTAATATCACGACAGACTCTACGCGGTCAAGCATCATCCTGCTGGAAAATTAGGTTATGACATCTGAGAAGTGGAAAGACATATGGTTGGAGGATCTGGTCTCTGTATCAAATGGCATTGAGGTTTAGATCCAGGACCATTAAGGGGGATTTGACTCCATGGGTGATGCCTCCCCAAACCATTACAGAAGCCCCATCAAATCTATCACATTCATCCATGCATGCATCGGCAAAACGTTTACCGCGTCTGCAATATGCCCTTTTTCTTCCGTATGTGCAATACATACAGAATCTGGAATTGTCGATGAACATCATACGCCTCCACCGATGCATCCCAAACCAATTCAGGTCATGTCTGCGCTTCCAGTCAAGATGCACTTGCCACCTCCATGGTGTCAAAGGTGGCCCGACTTAAGGTCAGCGCACAATGATTCTCTTGGCATGCAAGTGATTTCTGGCAGTAAGAGCTCTAATGGGTCTCTACAGCATTAATTGTGCATTTCTGTTTTTTGTTGAGTATATGTACTGGTTCTCACACACAGGTAAAAATGTATGTATTGGTACTCACAAACAGGTAAAAATGTATGTATTGGTACTCACAAACAGGTATACACATGTATATACTGGTACTCACAAACAGGTATACACATGTATGTACTGGTACTCATACACAGGTATACACATGTCTGTATTAGTACTCATACATAGGTATACACATATATGTATTAGTACTCCTACACAGGTATACGCATGTATGTATTAGTACTTACAAACAGGTATACACATATATGTACTGGTTCTCATACACAGGTATACACTTGTATGTATTAGTACTTACAAACAGGTATACACATGTATGTACTGGTACTCATAAACAAGTATACACATGTATGTACTGGTACTCATACACAGGTATACACATGTATGTACTGGTTCTCATACACAGGTATACACATGTATGTACTGGTACTCATACACAGGTATACACATGTATGTACTGGTACTCAAACAGGTATACACATGTATGTACTGGTACTCATACACAGGTATACACATGTATGTACTGGTTCTCATACACAGGTATACACATGTATGTACTGGTTCTCATACACAGGTATATACATATATGTACTGGTACTCATACACAGGTATACACATGTATGTACTGGTACTCATACACAGGTATACACATGTATGTACTGGTTCTCATACACAGGTATACACATGTATGTACTGGTTCTCATACACAGGTATACACATGTATGTACTGGTTCTCATACACAGGTATACACATGTATGTATTAGTACTTACAAACAGGTATACACATATATGTACTGGTACTCATAAACAGGTATACACATGTATGTACTGGTACTCATACACAGGTATACACATGTATGTACTGGTTCTCATACACAGGTATACACTTGTATGTATTAGTACTTACAAACAGGTATACACATGTATGTACTGGTACTCATAAACAAGTATACACATGTATGTACTGGTACTCATACACAGGTATACACATGTATGTACTGGTTCTCATACACAGGTATACACATGTATGTACTGGTACTCATACACAGGTATACACATGTATGTACTGGTACTTACAAACAGGTATACACATGTATGTACTGGTACTCATACACAGGTATACACATGTATGTACTGGTTCTCATACACAGGTATACACTTGTATGTATTAGTACTTACAAACAGGTATACACATGTATGTACTGGTACTCATACACAGGTATACACATGTATGTACTGGTACTCATACACAGGTATACACATGTATGTACTGGTACTCATACACAGGTATACACATGTATGTACTGGTACTCATACACAGGTATACACATTGATGTACTGGTACTCATACACAGGTATACACATGTATGTACTGGTACTCATACACAGGTATACACATTTATGTACTGGTTCTCATACACAGGTATACACATTTATGTACTGGTACTCATACACAGGTATACACATGTATGTACTGGTTCTCATACACAGGTATACACATGTATGTACTGGTACTCATACACAGGTATACACATGTATGTACTGGTACTCATACACAGGTATACACATGTATGTACTGGTACTCATACACAGGTATACACATGTATGTACTGGTTCTCATACACAGGTATACACATGTATGTACTGGTACTCATACACAGGTATACACATGTATGTATCGGTACTCATACACAGGTATACACATGTATGTACGCGTACTCATACACAGGTATACACATGTATGTACTGGTACTCATACACAGGTATACACATGTATGTACTGGTTCTCATACACAGGTATACACATGTATGTACTGGTACTCATACACAGGTATACACATGTATGTACTGGTACTCATACACAGGTATACACATGTATGTACTGGTACTCATACACAGGTATACACATGTATGTACTGGTACACATACACAGGTATACACATGTATGTACTGGTACCCATACACAGGTATACACATGTATGTACTGGTACTCATACACAGGTATACACATGTATGTACTGGTTCTCATACACAGGTATACACATGTATGTACTGGTACCCATACACAGGTATACACATGTATGTACTGGTACTCATACACAGGTATACACATGTATGTACTGGTACCCATACACAGGTATACACATGTATGTACTGGTACTCATACACAGGTATACACATGTATGTACTGGTACCCATACACAGGTATACACATGTATGTACTGGTACCCATACACAGGTATACATATGTTCTATGATATTCAGATTGAAACATTGATTGCATATATCTTTCATCTTACAGATCGAGATAAATAATTAAAGGCACCCCAGTGTGAACTGAAATCTATCAAAATGAATGATGATGATTCAACTCAAGGCTTCAACATGGGAGACAACTTTGCCTTCAGTGAAAAGACCATTCGAATGGGTATGGTTGCTATAGACACTTCACTCTTTTGATGTCTTAACTATATAAATATTTACAACCTCATAGAAAGTGCATCATACATGTATGTTTGTTGTTCCCATGAATTTCCTAGTGTAGCCATGTTCTATTATTATCTTAAAGATTTCTTATTTATCTTTGTTCAAATGAATTGAATAATTGTGATTTTCCATATTATTTAAATTGCTATAAATAGATGGCTTTGTTAGTAACTTCAAGTCTTAGTTTAGATTTAATGGTTTTGAAATTAATTTCTGTTAAACACTGTAATCCATAACACATTAAATATTTCAGGGAAATTTTTTAAACCATAACACATTTGCTGGCTGTAAGTTGTTTTGAGCTGGCACTAAACAAGGCCTGAATGACTTCTCACTGAACATAAACAATATATTTCCAGGTTTTATCAGAAAGGTGTATGGGATCCTGCTCTGTCAAATCTTAGTCACCATCCTGTTTATTTGTCTCTTCCTGTATGCGTAAGTGTAAATAAGTCCTTCTCAGCTATGGGTATTATTTAACATACTTTGTAGAAACTAAAAATTCTAGAGGTTCTTTGTTTCTTTTTTTCATTTTGTTTACATTTTCTTGATGTTAGTCTCTCATTTCTCTCTAGTTTTGATACCTTTTAGTTGTATTTGTTTTGTCTTTATTAGGGCCTCGCATCAAGATGTAGGTGCCCTATAGTAATCAGCTTGTCCATCTGTCTGTCCCATTTTTGGTTTCTGTATAGTATCTCAAATTCTGTTATGCAATGGCATTCATACTTTATGTCAAGCCTCCTTGAAGGGAGTGCTTGCTTCGGGAATGTAGCTTTTCATCTCCCAAGGTTTAAGGTCAAGGTCACTGATGCTATAATTAGAAAATATGTTTCAATGTAAAAACTAGAGATTGCTTTAGCCAATCTAACCAAACCTCATACAATACTTCCTTACTGAAATGTTGCTTGGGATAGCTTTACAGTTTTGAAGGTCAAAGGTCAGAGTCACTGTTATTACATTGCCTTGGATAGCTTTACAGTTTTGAAGGCCAAAGGTCAGGGTCACTGTTGCTATAAATAGAGAAATTTTATTTAATTATGGGGCTAGTGCACCTCCCTGTCTAGATTTTTACATTTCTTTTTAATCACTTTGAATTCTCCTCATTTGCCTCTTAGGCTTCAAAATTTAGGCCCTTAACATAGCTTATGAGTCCTAGAGGGATGAAACAGCTGTATGATGCAGTTTAATTCATGGCTTGACTCTACCGTTTCTAGCTCTGAATTTGTAACGAAAGCTGCTTATTTACTTGTGTGTCTTTTGTGCAATTTTACAATGATTTCTCACATTAATTCTGCCTTATGGTTGATGTGTTCTTTATCTTATCTGACACTTGCTTAGGCTTCAACAAAACTGCTGCAGGTTTACAGAAGTCACAAATCATTAAAAAACAAGGCGGCTGGGAAGGTGGGGGTCTCTTCATAAACTAAAGCATGACTATTTAGAGATTCCTTCTTTCCATCTTGAATTTGAATTCACATATCAATTGGAAACTCATGTAAGATCCTGCATATTGTTTACTTTGCCTCAATATTTCATTCCCAGGTAACCAAATTACAATTGTATATGCTGTGATTTAATGAGATGTCACATTGTCATGATTTGTTTCTGCAGACCAGCTGTGCAGAACTTTGCAGCCGTGAACCCATGGCTGTGGTATGTTGCAATGTAAGTATAAATCTTATTTAAATGATCTAATATGGTAGCTTCAGCAAGTTTGAAGCACATTCCACTTATCCCTCCCTTTCCATGATCTTGCTAAATTGTTAAATTGAGGTCCTTTTCCAAATCAATTTTGATGTCTTGAGGACCTCTCAACAGATGGTGACATATATGGGAGTGGGTGACTCCTTTCTTACAGACATTTTCTGGCTTCTTTCTATTTCTGATTCTTAAAAAAACGTGTCTTCTTATATAGAAAATATGTATCTGGAAAGTACGGTCACAGATGCTAATTTTCTTCTACTTGGTTTTATAAAACAGGAAATGTACTTGTTTTATATTGGCACAGAAATTGGTCATCAGTATAAAGTTTTAGATTCACACCTAGTTGCAAACAATCTCCAAATGTTTTGTTTTCCTGTCTGCTTCATAACACTGCCTTAACCAAAACCAAAGATCTCCAAAATTTGGTGTGTTTCAATTGGATTCATACATATACATGTATTTCAGATTGGGAAAAAAAAATTGAATTATTTGTTATTAAAGTTACGATGCAGAAGAAGGAAAGAAGTATAATTCAATTAATTAATTAGACCACCGAAAATGGACATCTGACATTTGTATCACAGAGAGTAGAGGGAAGGTTTTTATTTAGATACATCAGGGAATACTGAAAATTTCTCATTTTGTTTAATAGAGAGACTTTAATCTATTTGGAACATTAAGAAAATTTGTTCCTAAGACATTGATGTACTTAACTACTACCTTTGATTCACAGAGTTCTAACATTCATCATGATCATTGCATTGGCTTGCTGTCCGGATGTCCGACGTCAGTCTCCTCTCAACATGATTTTACTCGCCATATTTGTAAGTCCTCAAATTCTGCTTTTGTTTGTGATTGTAAACCATATAGATGAATATCAATATTTATCCCTGGTAATGAAAAATATTTCACAGAAAATTCAGATATTCCATACCTATCGTATTTCAATGTTCAAGTGAACTCGTTTTCAGATTAGTGTTGTTTTTTTATTGTTGAAACCGTATTAAGCTAAAATAATTGAATATTGTTGTATTACCTGATTTATTGTATTGCAGTTTTATCATAATAAAAATCCTGTCATTAAAATGTGGATCAGTCACTGCAGGATAATTAGTAGCATAATTATCACTGAATTATGGTGGTGTTTCTAATGGTTTCATTTTACAGACGGTATGTGAAGGATTTTTGTTGGGAGGCGTGGCAGGGTAAGTGGTGCTTTGTTACATGTAAGACATTTTTAAGTAAAAGTTTAAACTTGTTTAAAGTTATGTTTTGATAATAAAGTCTGTAAGGACTTGATATACTGTATAGGTTGTTTTTGTTGCAATCTCATTTATGGTTCAAATCTTTCACAGATTTACAGTAAAGCTTGAAGTAGAAAAGACTTTTCACAAAATCGTAAAACAGACCATGGTCTTTTTTCTATTGATTGAATTTTTGTATTTACTATTTTCACTTTTTTTTTATCCCCCAAAATAGTGCAAGATAAAACTCACCAGTATAACAGCCTTCACTGTATATATTGTAAAATTTGCTTTGCTAAAAGAGGTAACTTGATGAAATGTTGAATGTGACATTTTTATCATAGAAAATTGGTCACTCTAATTTAGCACTTCTGACTTCACATCAAGAAATATTGCTATTATGTATTGTTTTTATCTTTACTCAATCTGTTGTCAGAAAATGTGAGAAATATAACACTGGAGTTATAGCTCTTCTGGAAAAAACCAATTGTAACAGTCTAGTACATGAAAAAGCTGTTTGGTTTGTTTCCATAATTTTGTCTGTTGTGCTGATAATAGTCTTTTTGCATGCTAAGATGTGAGGGTACCAAGTTTAGTAATATAAATGACCTTGACTTCCTTTCAAGGTCTCAGGGGTCAAAAATGTTAAAACATTTAAAAGATTTTGACTCAATAACCAAAAGGCCCGGGATGCCGATATTAGGTCTGTAGCATGCTAGGATGTAGGACTACCATGTTTGTTAAGCTGATTGACCTAGATCTGCTTTCAATGTCACTGGGGTCAAATATGTTAAAATCATGAAACAACTTCTCAGTAACCAAAAAACCCAGGTGCTGATATTGCGCTTGTAGCATGCTAGAGTGGTTGTTAATATGAATGGCCTTGATCCAATTTCAAGGTCACAGGGGCAAAGTGTGTTGAAATATTCAAACAACTTCTTTTCAATCACCAAAAGGTCCATGGTGCTGATATTGGGCCTGTAGCATGCTGGGATGGAGGGCTACCAAGTTTGTTCACTTTGACCTACTCTCAAGGTCACAGGGTGTAATGTGTTGAAATGCAGAAGCAACTTCTTCTCAGTAACCAAAAGGTCAAAGGTCTTGATATTGGGCCTGTAGCATGCTTTTTCAACAAGCAATATGTCCAGAGTAATGGCATTTGTGTAGTGCATGTTTAAAGAATCGTAGTTGAACCTTGCAGAAAATGTCTTTATGAACCAACCAGCATCTTCTATGTAAGATGTAGAGTAGTTGAGCAATTTATTTTAGGCCTCTTTGGCCTTTGTAAAGGTCTTTATAGTCTGATGACCTTCAATGCCCGTGGGCCTCTTGTTGATTATTGTTGTTTATATTTATAGGACATACAATGAAAATGCAGTTCTGATGGCTGTAGGTGTGACAGCAGTAAGTACCTTACATTATAAAAATGGGGAAGGATGGGGTTGGTGGGTGGGTTGGGATGAGGAGTGTGTAGAGGTTGCTATACCTGGTAAAGTATGGTACGGTAATTTGTAAGGTTGTAGGAAAGTGAAACACATCTCAACAGAAAACAATGTCTAAGAAATATTTTAGTTGTTACAGAAAAATATTCTTCTGTATGATCAATATCATTACAGCTTCAGTAAGTTAATTATTGTACTGTACATTTCCAGTAAACTGAATGTCTGTTAATTTGTAGATTGTGACCTTTGCCCTGACTGTCTTTGCTTTTCAAACTAAGGTGAGTAGAGGATTCTCTTTACATTCTCGATACTATTTATACAATGTTATAATTGTTACTAGTGTTTGTGGCCTATTGATGTCACTATCTACAATGTGGACGTGACAGGTATGTAATATTTATACAATGTTATAATTGTTACTAGTGTTTGTGGCCTATTGATATCACTATCTACAATGTGGACGTGACAGGTATGAAATATTTATACCATAGTTCAGTTTTCTATGGTATGCATTTGGAAGAATTATACTAAAAAAATACTTTGTTTCTGTACACTAATGCACATAAGTTTACCATGATGGAAAAATAAAGTATAAAATTGGTGAATTATATCTGCATGACTGCCTTCGGCCATCATAGTAAATATCCTCGTACCTTATACTCAGCACTATTGTGTAGAGCAGTATCTGTATGGATGGTCACTCAGCATGCTCTGTGTCAATTTTACCTTATTGTAACCTTGAAATTTTTCATAGAGATCAAAACAATTGCTTTGAAGAATTTTTATTGCGTAGGAAAATTTCAACATCACTATTACCAGTACTGACTTAATTATAAGTTATATTGTGACCACATGTAAAGAAGGTAGGTGTCTTAAGTACAAGGTATATCAGGGCTCGACATCAACGACTGTCCGACTGTTCAGGACAGGTAGATCTGCTTGTCGGACAGGTAGAAGTTGGGCCTGACCTGTCCAACGAGACAGGTAAAAATATATGGTCAAAACCAAAAAAAAAATGGCATCCTGTTTAAAACTTGATTAGCCCCATCATAGCCTACAATACAATGCATACAAAGCAAAATCATTATCTGCAAGATGTTTGAATGAGGCAACCACATGCTGATTAAATGCTAAGCGCTTAGGTGATCAAGAGTACACATAACAACACCTGATACACCTACAGTGCAGTGAACCGATGAACTGTCAAAGTTAGATTCGTCAGTATGCCAAAGAGAGGCCCAAGACTTTTAGTGTTTGAGGTAAGCAAGTCAGGGGGCGATCCACTGACAAAAAACAGAATGAAGAACAAAAAAAAATATAAAAAGTACGCAAAACGGAAAAGCAGAAAGTTTGTATAAAAACTGGTGTGAAGAGTATGACTGGTTGAAATTCGATGACAAAGAAGACACAATGTTTTGTGCATCTTGTTACCACTATGTTAACAACTGCAACCAATCATTTGTAATGGAGACCAATAGCTGCAGAATAGAAAATACAAACAGCCAGAATTCTAGTTCATCTCATTAGGTGTGGTATAACAAATATCTGACCAGCAAATCAGAGGCAAAGGCCCGCTATCTGTTGATTACAGAGGTCACATTACTGAGAGTGATGCGGGAGAAAGGGATTCGAGACAACCACAACTTACAGGTCGGATGGTTCAACAAATAAAAAAATTATTAAAGAGCAAAGTGACCATTGGTTGTTTGTTTCAACACAGCATATTTTGTTGCATACAAAGAACTCCCTTTCACATTATATCCATCACTGTTAGAGCTACAACAGAAAAATGGTGTCAAATTCCCCAAAGGTATCGGACATATCAAGCTTGTAGAAGGAGGGTAAAGCAGCCATCGTATTATAATTCAAAAGTTATTTACTTTTTTTATGGAAGATAATTAAATTAGCCTGTAATATACAAAATTAGATTAGCCTGTAATATACAACAGCACCTTAAATGTTGTAATAAAAGTAGATTATCACTCTCTATTTTTGTATATATTTTATCAAGTGGGATAAATATTTCATGCAAAAAATCAAATTAAAACTGAAAATGGAAATCTTTGTATTATGTCAATATTAAAAAATCCATGGAATGTGATAGTATATCAGAAAACTGTTAAAAAATTGTGTTTAAACAAAAGTCATCAATCAGATATGATACAGGTAAACCTACATGTACTGGCATTTAATTTTGAGATATAAGTCACATTAACAGAATATTTTTTAAAGATTGATTGACTGCCTAATGCAATCAAATAATGATACAAAAATAATATACATACATATGTACAATTATGAATTAAACTTAGATTTAATTTCACTTAAAAGACACAAATTCAATTTATGGTAATTGAATTCACTTTTTAGGTTTTAATAAATTCATACATCCTTCCAACTTGCTCATGAAGTCCTTCAGAATCCTAGAGTGTTGTCTGTTTGTGAGCATTTCCACAATGGCTAGGATAAACTCAGATTGGAGATCAACTCTGATCGTAGACATGCTCAGTAATCTGATGGATATCTCCATTTCTGGCGTTCCTGTATTGGACTATGGCCCTTACAAAGCACTGAAGCTGTAGTGACATGCGGGTCAGACAGAGGAGGCCCCAGTTGGTTGTTTATTTCCAACTCCCCTTGTTTCATTAGTTAAATGGAAGTACAATTAAAACATTAAAATTAGTTTTAGTGTTTTTATTTTGAATTTATTTTGTTAAAAATGTTGGACAGGTACATAAATCATTCGGACAGGTAAATTTTTAGTGACCCTACAGGTGACAGGTAACCATAAAAGTTAATGTTGAGCCCTGTTATATCTCGTCCATTTCTAGATAGATTTCATCACAATCACTTGTCCATTTCTAGATAGATTTCACCACTATCATCTTGTCCTTTTGTGGAAAGATTTTACCACAAGCACTTGTCCATTTCTAGATAGATTTCACCACAATCACTTGTCCATTTCTAGATAGATTTCACCACAATCACTTGTCCATTTCTAGATAGATTTCACCACAATCACTTGTCCATTTCTAGATAGATTTCACCACAATCACTTGTCCATTTCTAGATAGATTTCACCACTATCATCTTGTCCATTTCTAGATAGATTTCACCACAATCACTTGTCCATTTCTAGATTGATTTCACAATGATGGGAGGACTGCTGTTTGTCTTTCTGATCGTCCTCATTTGTTTTGGATTTCTCTGTGCCATAATCCAAAATGAGGTAAGTACAATGTTGGGAAAAAGAAAACCATCAAAATTGCTTGTTCTTTATTCAAAATACTGAATTATTTATTTGTTGTAATTAGGAAAATAATTACTTTTGTGAATTCAACTTAATTTTGACATTGAAATTTTTCAGATAGTAAACATTGATATTTGGTAAAATTTGTCAAAGAAGTTATATTTTTAAAATCTAATCTAAGATACTATTATTTCATTCTTTATATTCATTTTATACATAAAGATATCAATATCTGTTTTCTATCTTTCACCACAGAAGTACAAAAGAGTTTGCAGTCTAAATATATCCTATATGCTGACAACAGTTAATGAATGAGAAAGTTTGACTGCAAAAAAAAAAAAGTTTTAAATTTGTTTGAAAATGCTACATGGTTATGATTATGTGTTTTCAGTATGCCAGACTAGCTTATTCCTGCCTTGGTGCTCTCCTGTTCAGTGCTGTAAGTATGGTGTAGATATATAGTTTGGATTGTTTCATTCAGTTTTGGTAATTTTCAGCAGCTCGTCTACGACAAAAATATGAAATTAAGCAGGCAGAAGTTTTTTTCAGTGAATTTTAGCCCCAAATATCTTGAATTGGAAACACTAATGTTTGTCTATACTGAAGCATTCAAATTAGACAAAGTAGAATGTAAATTCCTTCTGAATAGGAACATATTTCTTGGAATGTTTCACTTGTATCACTGTGGTAAAATCTGGCGTGAACACTTAAAATATCTTTAATAGACTAAAGGTTTGGTTAATAGGCTGTATGTTCTGTCCTTAGCTCTGACATACCACACTGTTTAACAGTATGCAATGTTTTGTGATAATCTATATCTGGTCTGTTGTCAGTATACAATGTTTTGTGATAATCTATATCCAGTCTGACATCAGTATACAATGTTTTTGTGGTTTGTGATAATTTATATCCAGTCTGTTGTCAGTATACAATGTTTTGTGATAATCTATATCCAGTCTGTTGTCAGTATACAATGTTTTGTGATAATCTATATCCAGTCTGTTGTCAGTATACAATGTTTTGTGATAATCTATATCCAGTCTGTTGTCAGTATACAATGTTTTGTGATAATCTATATCCAGTCTGTTGTCAGTATACAATGTTTTGTGATAATCTATATCCAGTCTGTTGTCAGTATACAATGTTTTGTGATAATCTATATCCAGTCTGTTGTCAGTATACAATGTTTTGTGATAATCTATATCCAGTCTGTTGTCAGTATACAATGTTTTGTGATAATCTATATCTGGTCTGTTGTCAGTATACAATGTTTTGTGATAATCTATATCCAGTCTGACATCAGTATACAATGTTTTTGTGGTTTGTGATAATCTATATCCAGTCTGTTGTCAGTATACAATGTTTTGTGATAATCTATATCCAGTCTGTTGTCCGTATACAATGTTTTTGTGTTTTGTGATAATCTATATCCAGTCACCCTGGGTCATTACTCCAGGGTTATTCTGGGTCATCACTCCAGGATCTTTCTGGGTCATCATTCTAGGATTATTCTGGGTCCTGGTTCTAGGGTCATCCTGGGTTATCAATCCAGGGTCATTCTCGGTCAGTACTTCTGGGTCCTTCTGGGTCATCACTCCATAGTCATTCAGGGTCATCCTGGGTCCTTGCTCCAGGGTCATACCGGGTCATCACTCCAGGGTCATTCTCGGTCATTACTCCTGGGTCATTGACAGTCCTCACTCCAGGGTCATCTTGGTCCTAGCCATCCTCTACCAGGTCACAACACTAACACAATACACCAGGTAAATATCTCACACTCCATACACAACACTCACAACACACACCAGGTAATTACTCACACTCCATACACAACACTAACACAACACCAGGTAAATATCCACACTCCATACACAACACTGGTACACAACACAACAGGTAAATATCTCACACTCCATACACAACACTAACACAACAAGGTAAATATCTCACACTCCACACAACACTAACACAACACCAGGTAAATATCTCACACTCCATACACAACACTAACACAACACCAGGTAAATATCCATACACAATACACAACACACAACTCCAGGTAAATATCTCACACTCCATACACAACACTAACACAACACCAGGTAAATATCTCACACTCCATACACAACACTAACACAACACCAGGTAAATATCTCACACTCCATACACAACACTAACACAACACCAGGTAAATATCTCACACTCCATACACAACACTAACACAACACCAGGTAAATATCCAGGTCCATACACAACACTAACAACACCAGGTAAATATCTCAAATATCTCACACTCCATACACAACACTAACACAACACCAGGTAAATATCTCACACTCCATACACAACACTAACACAACACCAGGTAAATATATCACACTCCATACACAACACTAACACAACTCCAGGTAAATATCCCACACTCCATACACAACACTAACACAACCCAAGGTAAACACCTCACTATCCATACACAACATTAACACAACTCCAGGTAAATATCTCACACTCCATACACAACACTAACACAACTCCAGGTAAATATCTCACACTCCATACACAACACTAACACAACACCAGGTAAATATCTCACACTCCATACACAACACTAACACAACACCAGGTAAATATCTCACACTCCATACACAACACTAACACAACTCCAGGTAAATATCCCACACTCCATACACAACACTAACACAACTCCAGGTAAATACCTCACACACAATACACAACACTAACACAACTCCAAAATATCTCACACTCCATACACAACACTAACACAACTCCAGGTAAATATCTCACTCACACTCCATACCTCACACAACACTAACACAACACCAGGTAAATATCTCACACTCCATACACAACACTAACACAACTCCAGGTAAATATCCCACACTCCATACACAACACTAACACAACTACAGGTAAATACCTCACACTCCATACACAACACTAACACAACTCCAGGTAAATACCTCACACTCCATACACAACACTAACACAACTCCAGGTAAATATCTCACACTCCATACACAACACTAACACAACTCCAGGTAAATACCTCACACTCCATACACAACACTAACACAACACCAGGTAAATATCTCACACTCCATACACAACACTAACACAACTCCAGGTAAATATCTCACACTCCATACACAACACTAACACAACTAAATATCTCAGGTAAATATACTCCATACACAACACTAACACAACTCCAGGTAAATACACACACACTAACACAACTCCAGGTAAAGACCTCACACTCCATACACAACACTAACACAACTCCAGGTAAATATCTCACACTCCATACACAACACTAACACAACTCCAGGTAAATACCTCACACTCCATACACAACACTAACACAACTCCAGGTAAATACCTCATACTCCATACACAACACTAACACAACTCCAGGTAGATATCTCGCACTCCATACAAAACACTAACACAACTCCAGGTAAATACCTCACACTCCATACACAACACTAACACAACACCAGGTAAATATCTCACACTCCATACACAACACTAACACAACACCAGGTAAATATCTCACACTCCATACACAACACTAACACAACTCCAGGTAAATATCTCACACTCCATACACAACACTAACACAACTCCAGGTAAATACCTCACACTCCATACACAACACTAACACAACTCCAGGTAAATACCTCACACTCCATACACAACACTAACACAACTCCAGGTAAATATCACAACACCACACACTCATACACAACACTAACACAACTCCAGGTAAATATCTCACACTCCATACACAACACTAACACAACTCCAGGTAAATATCCTCACACTCCATACACAACACTAACACAACTCACACTCCATACAGGTAAACTCCATACACAACACTAACACAACTCCAGGTAAATATCTCACACTCCATACACAACACTAACACAACTCCAGGTAAATACCTCATACTCCATACACAACACTAACACAACACCAGGTAGATATCTCGCACTCCATACAAAACACAAACACAACTCCAGGTAAATATCTCGCACTCCATACACAACACCAACACAACTCCAGGTAAATATCTCACACTCCATACACAACACTAACACAACTACAGGTAAATATCTCACACTCCATACACAACACTAACACAACTCCAGGTAAATCACACTCCTTACACTACTCTAACACAACTCCAGGTAAATACCTCACACTCCATACACAACACTAACACAACTCCAGGTAAATACCTCACACTCCATACACAACACTAACACAACTCCAGGTAAATACCTCACACTCCATACACAACACTAACACAACACCAGGTAAATATCTCACACACACTAACACAACACCAGGTAAATATCTCACACTCCATACACAACACTAACACAACTCCAGGTAAATACCTCACACTCCATACACAACACTAACACAACTCCAGGTAAATATCTCACACTCCATACACAACACTAACACAACTCCAGGTAAATACCTCACACTCCATACACAACACTAACACAACTCCAGGTAAATACCTCACACTCCATACACAACACTAACACAACTCCAGGTAAATACCTCACACTCCATACACAACACTAACACAACTCCAGGTAAATATCCCACACTCCATACACAACACTAACACAACTCCAGGTAAATACCTCACACTCCATACACAACACTAACACAACTCCAGGTAAATATCTCACACTCCATACACAACACTAACACAACTCCGGGTAAATATCTCGCACTCCATACACAACACTAACACAACTCCAGGTAAATATCCCACACTCCATACACAAAAATTGTATATGTTGTAATGAGATTTTGCTGATTGTTAATGACTTGATTTTAGAAATCAACAAATGAGTATATATAAAAACGTTTTAATTTTCAGAATTTATCAATATTTACGTGAAAAATTACCAGAGGAATAATTTTTTTTATCAAGGCATCACAGCATTCAAATATCCAATTTGATCATTTTAATTGAATTTGGTAGGACAATATGCAGATTGTTGTTTTGTCAGTACACTGTGTTTTTCACTGATTATAGATTTTTCACAAGGTGATAATGTATGATAACAATATGGTGTTTTTACCTGCTTTCAGTACATCGTGTTTGACACCCAGATGATGATCGGCGGTAAACACAAGTACTCGCTGTCCCCAGAAGAGTACATTTTTGCAGCCCTGAATCTTTACCTAGACATCGTCAACCTCTTCCTCTTCCTTCTCAGCATATTTGGCTCCAGAAACTAGACGACACCTGATTTAAAAATAAAGCATATTGTGGGTATACCCTACCTGATATATATAAAGGAGGATTGGCATAACTTGTACCAGAATGGTTTTTCACTATAAAAAAAATGTAAATTTTAAAGTGGATACAATTCTTTGATAAACAAAAGTCATTACCTGCCTGATTTTTTTCCATATTTGTCAGAATATATTTATCTTGTTACTCATATATTTCTAGCATGTTCGAGAAAAGGGGTAGAAAAATGATTATTCCCTGGTTTGAAGATTTGACAGAGAAATCTCTACACTCAGAGGAGATTCAATACTCTAACCCTTGGCAAAGCCTCAGGTTACACAGTTGTGAATCTTCTCCCTGGGTTGAGATTTCTCTGGCCTTCCCTCATGCTAGGTAAAGATCCTATTAATCTCCAGGTATTGAAATACAAGTGTCAAGGCATGTAATATGTACGGAAAGATATAAGTTACAGTATTAATCTATTTAAACATAAATATGTGAAGTTCGTCATGTTTTTTAGCTCACCCTGCCCATCCAGTGTTCATCTAGAGTCAAAGTTTTCATTTAAACAACTGCTTCTTAATAACCAGCAGACCAAATATGGTATTTGGCTGGTATTTTGCTTGACGAAGCCCAACAAAATTTGGGAAAGCAAGTTACCTTGACCTTTATTCAAGGTCACAGAGGTCAAATTAAAAGGATTTTTTCTGACTATCAAAAGATGAAGGAGCATGATATTTGGCTGATAGGTTGTTTGCAAACAGAAATGACCTTGACCCTTATTCAAGGTCACAAAAATCAAATTGTTTTAAACCTTAAAAAGTTTTTTCTGACTAACCAAAATGTGCAGAAGCATGGTATTTGGCTTGTAGATTACTGGGATTATGACTGACAATGTTTACAAGAAGAAATTACCTTGACCGATATTGAAGGTCACAGGAATTGAATTTTTTGAAACCTATGGAAGACTTCTTTTGCTAAACCAGAAGTCAGAGAAGCAATGAATTTGACGGAAAAATGTTTATATGTCAAAGCCCAACAAATTTCAAGAAAAATTACTAAAATTTCAAGTCATAACTGTTAAAATTGATTGGATGTGCCCACTTTGAAAGAAAATAGTGTACACTTCAATATATTTGTGATATTAACACTGATTTTATTTTTGATGAACATGGAATACCAGGTGATCAATGGGGTCTCTTGTTTTTTTTAATTTATGTTAAGTATTTTATTTGCATATTTGTAATAAAAACAATCTTGTATAAATTATACTGTTTTCTCAACTTTTTATTCATCTCTGACAATAAGACCCACCCATATCTATAACTATTCAGTAGCATCATCAGCCTTTTGGGACATATAATGGGTCCCTATTCCCTATTGCAATTATTTTATATTTAAGCCAAATTCAGAAAATTTACAGTTAACTCCATAAAATCCTTCTCAATTCATCAATTTTCTCCCCAAAATGGGGCAAAAATCTGCATCCAAACCAGTCCCCACCCCCTTCCTCACCTGACTTTGAGTTAGATATAATGTATTGTCTACTGGGTTTATTGTAGAATTTAAAAAGCTAATTTCTGTGACCAATTGTTTCCATACACTTATTTTTCTGCATTTTTTAACTAGTGGTTTTCAAAGACATGTTCTTGACACCATAGTTTCCATCTACAACTTTGCTGACCTTTAATTTTAGGAAACAAGAGTTTGCGTTCTGTATTGAATTAATTAATTTGTTTCCCATTTTAGTATGTACAGAACAGGAGAGAGAGAATATAATTAAATATATATGTTGGTACAACGTACCTTATTGATTAATTTTCAAATTCATGAATGTTTGACAATATCTGAAATCAAACCAATCAAAATCCACTTTATGTTATGTACATAATTGTACAGTGTATATAGGATATATGCTTTACTATCACCTGGTGTTGTCTACATCATTGTTATGTATAATTTACTTGTCAAAATCAGTACAGTTGTCTTTTACAGGACTAATTTGTTTATTTTTCACACTTTTGAAGTGATGAAATACTCTGTGCTGGAAAGAAAATTAATGTATTAGTGTTGAGAGTGTTTGATAGGTATCAACCATTATTAACTATGACTTGTGGCTGAGATATTTTCATTTTGTACTAGATATAACAAACTTACGTTGTATCTTGTTTCCAACATTTTGTTTAATCAAGGTTATGTAGTAGAATATGACATTTTTAGCCAATTGCAACATTGTGTTGAAATTTATGTGATTTTGACTTTTCTCTGTTAATTTGTTCTGTTTGTATAACCTTTAATTTGTTTATTTTATTTCTATGACCTTGACTCATTCTGTGACCTTGATGTTGATTTTGTTTCTATGACCTTGACTCTTTATTGTGACCTAGATGTTGATCTCGTTTTTATGACCTTGACTCTTTATTGTGACCTCGATGTTGGTTTTGTTTCTATGACCTTGACTCTTTATGCGACCTTGATATTGATTTTGTTTCGTTTGACCTTTTGTTACTTCTATTTGAAATGAGTTTCTGGTGGCTAAAGTTTGATTTTCTGTGACTAGAGTTGTTTTTGTTATCCTGATTCTGTTTTGAATTCATCCAGCCACCAACAGACTGGAGCATATTCTACCCAATTACTAAAGACAAAACATGTCCATAGTTATGTAACTTTGTTGTCTGTTTTATTTAAATCACTAATTCATAGCTCTACAACAAAAAAACGCTGCCAGTCCAGCCTCTTTGATTGAAGATACACATATATTTACAACCAATAATAGGCATATTTTAAAATATCTTTTGAAATTGAGGTTTACTGGATCAAAATAGTCCCATTTTCAATACAGTAGTAAACCTCTGTGGAAATTCTTTGGAGTTGGATTAGAAATATTTTACTGAAGCCATATTATAAATAAGACTCCTACATAATTTTTTAAAATCTGTCATTGTGACTGTTTCTATGTAGTTTGTTGGAATCTGTTAAACCATGTTCATTTTTCAATATGGTATATTATACCTTTGAAGAATCATGCTTTTCTTTTTTATATAAAGAAGTGTAGTGTTGTATTTGTGTTATAAGTGATTTATTTATTAACTAAATAGATATTTGTTTTACATGATGTTTCTATCACAAAGCTGCAAACATTAGGTCATTTATTGGTCTACAAACGTTAGGTCATTTATTGGTCTATAAACGGTAGGTCATTTATTGGTCTATAAACATTAGGTCATTTATTGGTCTATAAACATTAGGTCATTTATTGGTCTATAAACGGTAGGTCATTTATTGGTCTACAAACGTTAGGTCATTTATTGGTCTATAAACATTAGGTCATTTATTGGTCTATAAACGGTAGGTCATTTATTGGTCTATAAACATTAGATCATTTATTGGACTATAAACATTAGGTCATTTATTGGACTATAAATGGTAGGTCATTTATTGGTCTATAAACATTAGGTCATTTATTGGTCTATAAACGTTAGGTCATTTATTGGTCTATAAACGTTAGGTCATTTATTGGTCTATAAACGTTAGATCATTTATTGGACTATAAACATTAGGTCATTTATTGGACTATAAACATTAGATCATTTATTGGACTATAAATGGTAGGTCATTTATTGGTCTATAAACATTAGGTCATTTTTTGGTCTATAAACGTTAGGTCATTTATTGGTCTATAAACGTTAGGTCATTTATTGGTCTATAAACATTAGGTCATTTATTGGTCTTTAAACATTAGGTCATTTAATGGTCGACAAGCATTAGATCATTTATTGGTCTACAAACGTTAGGTCATTTATTGGACTATAAACATTAGGTCATTTATTGGACTATAAACATTAGATCATTTATTGGACTATAAATGGTAGGTCATTTATTGGTCTATAAACATTAGGTCATTTAATGGTCGACAAGCATTAGATCATTTATTGGTCTACAAACGTTAGGTCATTTATTGGTCTACAAACGTTAGGTCATTTATTGGTCTACAAACATTAGGTCATTTATTGGTCTACAAACGTTAGGTCATTTATTGGTCTATAAATTACACTTATGCATTATTAGTTTGATCAATTTTACACTTTTAACCTTCATAACAGTTTGGTATGCATATTTATGCAGAGTCTTGTAATTTTCCTTTTAAAGGGTTTTAAATATGATTCAGTTTGAAACTTGAAAAGGACATGTATATATTTAAGTACTTGGTAGCTATCATAGTGAGTTGATCAGGTAGTACACTGCAATGTTTACTTATAAAAATGGATGGTTGTAATATCTTGTTTTGTTGTAATTGGCTCAGTGTACAGCTGAAACAAGCATATCACTATTTTTTGTTAAAATAACAAATGAAAAACTTTTATTTCCAAAGCATATCTTTTTCTGTGCATTATTTATAATTTATTACACTACACAATGTTTGTACATGTGGCAGTGGCATGCTAGGACTGATTCTATAATACAATAATCATAATGTAAAATATATTTCTAATTATTCAACATTTTAAGTCAGTCATTTCCTACATTCACAGTCTTGGATTTACTGACATTGCACTGTAACAGAACCTTTTCATTCCAATCACAGTTGCTTGAATTTGTGTGTACATCAGAATCTCGTTTATATCTGAATACTACTCCTTCATCGAATTCTTTTGGACAGAATTTATAGTGTTTATAATGTGCAGTGATATATTACAATTTGTCAGTGTTCAGAGTTTTACAGCCGTTTTTCTAGAATAGTGTCAGTCACAACAGATAAGCTTGTATTTGTGACAAGAGGTAAAATCATTATAAATTCAATTGTGCAAAATATAAACAACAAACCGTATTAACCTTGGTGATTTAAATTCAATGATTTTAATTGTTTTGCATATTTTTCGAAAATATTGGATATTCAAAAACATCAATAACATACAAAGCAAGTCTCCTTATAGGAAAAAAAATAACAAAAACAATTTTGAAATTGGAAATGAAGTTTGCACTATTGATCAGAAAATAAAAATTTAAAAGATAATGGTGTATCTTGGTTAGTCTAGGTTGATCACTGTTACAGTACCATCCATGCTTCGCACATGAATGAAATTTGGAGACCTTATAATACAGTGCTAAAATGATATTTATTCTTCCTGCAAATAAACTAGGACTTGATGTCAACAACGAATATAAAATGGTCAAAGACAACAGGTGTCAAAGTTTTCAGCCTTTCTTAGACAGGCAAGAAGTAGAATTCAAGTTAAATCAAATTATTTCCTGTAAAAGGCATTTGATTTGTTCCAAAGTAACCAACCTTCATATCAGTATTGATTCATTAGGAGCCAAATCACTTTCATCTTCAATTAATAGTGACATTTGATAGATAACTTATCTGACTTGAATAATGTGATAGTGAAACATGTTTTTGTCATGTTTAGGTCATCTGACCTGTCATGTGTAGCCATCATGTTTCTTCCATCATTGTGTGCCATCTACCATGTGCAAACTTTCCATTCAAATGACTTCTCTCAATAACCAAAAGACAATGAGGTTTGTTCTCATCAAAATATTCAAATGACTTCTTCTTAATAACCCAAATGCATAGGGTGCTGACATTTGGCCTCTAGCATAATGGAATGAAGGGCTACCAAAGTTATTAAAATTAATGACCTTGACCCACTTTTAAAGTCATAGGGTCAATGTGTTTAAACTTTCAGTGACATCTTTTCAATAACCAAAAGGCCAGGGGCATTGATGTTGTGCTTGTAGCATACTTCTATGAGTTTGTTTATATAGTTGACCTAGACCCACTAGGTCACAGGGTAAATGTGGCAAAATCTCAAGTTCTTAATAACCTAAAAGGCCCAAGGTGCTGATATTAGTTCTGTAGCATGCTGGAATAAAAGGCTACAACCTTTGTTCATATGATTGACCTTGACCTACTTTCATGGTCACAAGTGTCAAGTATGTCATCATCTTCGTCAGCTTCTAACATTTTGGACTTTCTGAACATACTTCAATGAAATTTTATAGAAACCTTCCATAGCCAAAGGTGCACTTTAATTGTGAATTATTCAGTCCCCACTCCCAGGAGGCCTGGGCCAAACTGGTAAAACTGATTGAAACTTCAAAAATCTTCTTCTCCATACCCAGGTATGGTAGAATCAAATAACCTTTATGGATTTAATTATCAGGCCTTCTAATACTTCACCAGAATTTCATTTAATGACCCCAGGGTCTCGTATTTCCCCCTCGAGAAGGGGTAATACTTACTATAGTTTATATAGGAAAATTACATTTTTGAACATAATTTGTTAATTTTCTGTAAGAAACTAAGTTAGAATTATTAGCATGACTGATGATATGCACATATTGACTGGCTGATCCTGCGGGGCTGGTGGATGGGGTTGAAAGGAGTCAAATGGATCTTTTCAATACCTAGATACCCAGACTCTATTAAATATTGTTCATGGATGGAAGAGTTTATACAGAAAAATGACATTTTTGGGTGTAACTTCTTTTAATTCAAACTTGGTTAGAAGCCTTAGCATGGGACAGCAGTTGATGTTATGCACATTTTATAAATTTTTTAACAAGATTATTTCTATGACATGCTGCAAGAAGAAAACTAACTCAGGTGACGTTAAAGCCCTATGGGCCTCTTTTTGCAGAAGATGTATTAATACAATGTTTAAGTTAAATAACTTTTGATGTAGCAGAAGCGGTGTCAGATGATTAATGATCACTATTTTTTACAGTAAGTAGAAAGTCTATGTGTCACTTGTATTGATGTCCATAGGTTAGGTTACACTAAACTCATTCCATGTTGTATAGAACAGTGTATTTATTGTTGTAAACATTGAATAAAATGTCAAAAACATCTCGTGTTTAATTGTACTTTATATCACATAATACAGAAATACCACTACCAAATATCAATGTACCTTCCATAAACAGAACCTGAATAATACAGACCTTCCGATAGGACCCAATCTATAGAAAACCTGGATAATACACACCTTCCGGTAGGACCCAATCTATAGAGAACCTGAATAATACAGACCTTCCGATAGGACCCAATCTATAGAGAACCTGAATAATACAGACCTTCCTACAGGACCCAATCTATAGAGAGAACCTGTATAATACAGACCTTCCGATAGGACCCAATCTATAGAGAACCTGAATAATACAGACCTTCCTACAGGACCCAATCTATAGAGAACCTGAATAATACAGACCTTCCGATAGGACCCATAGGACCCAATCTATAGAGAACCTGAATAATACACACCTTCCGGTAGGACCCAATCTATAGAGAACCTGTATAATACAGACCTTCCGATAGGACCAAATCTATAGAGAACCTGAATAATACACACCTTCCGGTAGGACCTTCCTGAATAATACAGACCTTCCTACAGGACCCAATCTATAGAGAACCTGAATAATACAGACCTTCCGATAGGACCCAATCTATAGAGAACCTGAATAATACAGACCTTCCAATAGGACCCAATCTATAGAGAGAACCTGTATAATACAGACCTTCCGATAGGACCCAATCTATAGAGAACCTGAATAATACAGACCTTCCTACAGGACCCAATCTATAGAGAACCTGAATAATACAGACCTTCCTACAGGACCCAATCTATAGAGAACCTGAATAATACAGACCTTCCGATAGGACCCAATCTATAGAGAACCTGAATAATACAGACCTTCCTACAGGACCCAATCTATAGAGAACCTGAATAATACAGACCTTCCTATAGGACCCAATCTATAGAGAACCTGATAATACAGACCTTCCTAGGACCCAATCTATAGAGAACCTGAATAATACAGACCTTCCTATAGGACCCAATCTATAGAGAAATAATACAGACCTTCCTATGAGACCTTCCTACAGGACCCAATCTATAGAGAACCTGAATAATACAGACCTTCCTACAGGACCCAATCTATAGAGAACCTGAATAATACAGACACTCCAATAGGACCCAATCTATAGAGAACCTGAATAATACAGACCTTCCTATAGGAACCAATCTATAGAGAAACCTTCCTATAGGACCCAATCTATAGAGAACCTTACAGACCTTCCGATAGGACCCAATCTATAGAGAACCTGAATAATACAGACCTTCCTACAGGACCCAATCTATAGAGAACCTGAATAATACAGACCTTCCGATAGGACCCAATCTATAGAGAACCTGAATAATACAGACCTTCCTATAGGACCCAATCTATAGAGAAACCTGAATAATACAGACCTTCCTATAGAGAACCTGAATAATACAGACCTTCTGATAGGACCCAATCTATAGAGAACCTGAATAATACAGACCTTCCAATGGGACCCAATCTACAGAGAACCTGAATAATACAGACCTTCCAATAGGACCCAATCTATAGAGAGAACCTGTATAATACAGACCTTCCGATAGGACCCAATCTATAGAGAACCTGAATAATACAGACCTTCCAATAGGACCCAATCTATAGAGAGAACCTGTATAATACACTTCCAATAGGACCCAATCTACTGAATAATACAGACCTATAGACCTGTCAGACCTTCCTAGAGAACCTGAATAATACAGACCTTCCTAAAGGACCCAATCTATAGAGAACCTGAATAATACAGACCTTCCTATAGGACCCAATCTATAGAGAACCTGAATAATACAAATAGGACCCAATCTATAGAGAGAACCTGTAAAATACAGACCTTCTGATAGGACCCAATCTATAGAGAACCTGAATAATACAGACCTTCCTACAGGACCCAATCTATAGAGAACCTGAATAATACAGACCTTCCTATAGGAACCAATCTATAGAGAGAACCTGTATAATACAGACCTTCCTACAGGACCCAATCTATAGAGAACCTGAATAATACAGACCTTCCGATAGGACCCAATCTATAGAGAGAACCTGTATAATACAGACCTTCCGATAGGACCCAATCTATAGAGAACCTGAATAATACAGACCTTCCAATGGGACCCAATCTACAGAGAACCTGAATAATACAGACCTTCCGATAGGACCCAATCTATAGAGAACCTGAATAATACAGACCTTCCGATAGGACCCAATCTATAGAGAACCTGAATAATACAGACCTTCCGATAGGACCCAATCTATAGAGAACCTGAATAATACAGACCTTCCTACAGGACCCAATCTATAGAGAACCTGAATAATACAGACCTTCCTATAGGAACCAATCTATAGAGAGAACCTGTATAATACAGACCTTCCTACAGGACCCAATCTATAGAGAACCTGAATAATACAGACTTCCAAGGACCCAATCTCCTAATAATACAGGACCCAATCTATAGGACCCAATCTATAGAGAACCTGAATAATACAGACCTTCCAATAGGACCCAATCTATAGAGAACCTGAATAATACAGACCTTCCGAGACCCAATCAGACCTTCCTATAGGATAGAGAACCTGAATAATACAGACCTTCCAATAGGACCCAATCTATAGAGAACCTGAATAATACAGACCTTCCGATAGGACCCAATCTATAGAGAACCTGAATAATACAGACCTTCCGATAGGACCCAATCTATAGAGAACCTGAATAATACAGACCTTCCAATGGGACCCAATCTACAGAGAACCTGAATAATACAGACCTTCCAATAGGACCCAATCTATAGAGAGAACCTGTATAATACAGACCTTCTGATAGGACCCAATCTATAGAGAACCTGAATAATACAGACCTTCCTACAGGACCCAATCTATAGAGAGAACCTGTATAATACAGACCTTCCAATGGGACCCAATAATAATACCCAATTCCATACCTTAGAGAACCTGAATAATACAGACCTTCCAATCTATAGGAACCCAATCTATAGAGAACCTGAATAATACAGACCTTCCGATAGGACCCAATCTATAGAGAAACTGAATAATACAGACACTCCAATAGGACCCAATCTATAGAGAGAACCTGTAAAATACAGACCTTCTGATAGGACCCAATCTATAGAGAACCTGAATAATACAGACCTTCCAATGGGACCCAATCTACAGAGAACCTGAATAATACAGACCTTCCGATAGGACCCAATCTATAGAGAACCTGAATAATACAGACCTTCCGATAGGACCCAATCTATAGAGAACCTGAATAATACAGACCTTCCAATAGGACCCAATCTATAGAGAACCTGAATAATACAGACCTTCCTACAGGACCCAATCTATAGAGAACCTGTATAATACAGACCTTCCTACAGGACCCAATCTATAGAGAACCTGAATAATACAGACCTTCCTACAGGACCCAATCTATAGAGAACCTGAATAATACAGACCTTCCTACAGGACCCAATCTATGGAGAGAAACTGAATAATATAGACACTCCAATAGGACCCAATCTATACAGAGAACCTGTATAATAGACACCCAAATGCATTAATACTGTGTCATCGATGATAAAGAAAAAAAATCCGTGTCAATACTAGTACTGCTGGAATTAGAGTTATCTCCCCTCGGTTGTAGCACTTACAAGATGCACTATTTTTGTGTAATCACTCACTTAAAAATTATGACGACAAATGTCGGATTTGATGTTCATAGCATGTGCCGAACATAATTCAATATTCCAAATTTACGTCAACATCCATTTGATTCTAAATTCAATGTAATTCATCTGCAGAGCTACATTTCAAATTATTAACGAAAATGGTAGATGGAAACCATCAATGTTAAAAGATATAGTAGATGACTTTCCTCACAGATTTCCCTCTCAGAACAAAAAGGTTATCAACAAATCTGAAGACGCAGAGATCGTAAATCAGAGTTCAACGTTGTTTCCTTAGCTCCATTTGTAAAATATCGTTGCCGAGAGTAAACAAAATCGAAAGTCGTTTAAAGATGGCTAAAAACGAAACAGTGAGAAGATGGTGTCTTCTTGCTTTATAAGGATGTACGCCTCTGATGTTTTGACCGGAAGTAAGACACAATTCAACATCATGAATTCCAACATAATATCTTGGACTTTGTCTTTTTATATCATTTGTTATCTACAGCTGTACTTTGTAGTTGAAATCATGAGATTTGTATGACTTTTGAAGAAATTTAACTATAAAGTACTCTTCAATAATAACTCTTGAACTCTTGGGTAGATTTCAACTAAATTTGATTATTTATTATCACTTATAATCACATATCTAAAATGCATTAATTCCGACTTGGTGACCCATTTCCCAGAAGTTTAGGACGCGAAACTAAATAATTCATGTGGTTTCTTGATCTTTGAAAAACTGACTGGGTGAAAAGTGCAGAAAACAAAAGAACAGAGACACACTCTTTTTATTCATGCAAAGATTCCTTGAAAATTGACAGTTTTTTAATTGGACTACCTAGAAAAATATTAACTTTTTTGTGCATTTGGTTATATTGCAAAGTGTTCAATCGAATGAAAAAATATGGTTAAAGGAGAGGGTGGTTGTTAAATCTTCAGGGCTTGGTAATGATTTTCATCTCTGAACTGTGAGATCGATAATGAAGATATATGAAGTATGTATAAGTTAATTTCCGGTAAAAATACGCTGTGTTTATACTATATGTTCAGATTTCTCAATAGATTGATTAAAAAACGTTTGACAAAAAGATAAAAGAAACAAAAACAAAATCAACATTTACTTAACAAAATTTAGCACGTCTGTGAAGTATAAGCTAATCCAGTAGATAAATTATTACTAAGTATAAAAAAGTCTATGTATTCTTTATTTCCTCCAGAATGAAGATTCCAATAACAGAGTATCACAACACATTCGTTAAGGTATACATTAATTATTTGCCAGTCAATATGAACTCTAGGACACGTGATTTAAGTTACCAGTAACAACGTCGGGCACTTTTAATTCTTTGGCGATGTACAGTATAGATGCCATGGCTGCAATGTTTCATTTATAATATGACGTCATCATTAGAAAAACTAGAATTAAAGACTTCACGCGGAACTCTTCAAGAAACGAGTTTCACAAGTCACAAGAAAAGTTACCTCCAATCACGACATAAAATAACTGACTATCGTCTAAGGCATGCAAGTATACACTGAACAGTATATCACCAATATTAACGATTTCACACCGTAATTCTTGTCTTAATTCGTCAGTCGAACTACATGAATGACTACTTTTTTTGTACACGTGACCACATTTATGACATCATGCATTATGAGGCAATCATCTGGTAACAATTTATTTCATTATATAAACAGCTTCCCTATTTTCAGGGAACTTTATACGCAATTTCCACAGCTGGTGTTGAATTAACATGTCTTGTATTAAAACGAACATAGAAAAGTCAGCACTATTGCACATCCTATTTAGCCAAGCTTTTTCGCCTGTATCCTCCAGCGTGTTTTAAGCAGACACCATCCCTCCGTCATAAATTAAAAAACTGATTCATATAAAACTTTCTCAGTATCTTAACGAAATCATACGAAAAAGCATGCCTGGAGTTATTGTCAGTATCTAAATCTGCAATAAAAATCGTGTAACTAGGATACGTGACGATAGTGTCTTCTAATCCAATCTACAAAGTCTACCGAAAAATGACAACATTCTAGTATCTGCATACCCTTAAATACTCGTCCAGCCAAGAAGGCCGGTACACATCGATCAGTTCTTGTTCGGGTCTGCATAGATTTAACAAATATTTCATTAAATTGAAACATTCGACAAAATAAGTGAGTGAAAGAAAGAAAAAAACAAACAAAAACAAAAATCAATCTGATTTATAAGCTAATCCGGTAGACAAATATGACAAACTCTTTAAAAAAATCGGTGTCTAAGGAAGCAGTTAATCAGTATCCGTGTAGGTTCTTATCAGTTTGTTGTTTACTCTCTGTGTAACAGAGCTACCGAAGGTGAATCTTTGGCGTATTTTTTATTTTTTTCACCGAGACATTTGAATGTCATACGAAATTGATCCTCTTCAATTAAAAAAGATAACATTATTTTCATAAGGAAAACTGCTGCGAAAAAAGGAAGAAATACGAGAACCAGTGGTGCTTTTCCTCCAGGTATGGATATGTACAATTTGCCATTGTCATATAATATACATATATTCACAGACTTAAAATATTCCAAATCCGCGATGTAATATATAAAGTATCAATACACACATAATATCAATTACATATATCAGATCTGAGATTTGGACTTAAAGCATTGCTTGCCTGCGTCCATTTAATAGGAATATATAGTCCGTGTCAAAATCAATAACATCTTAGATTGAGGTCTCGGTTGCAATTCGTATTTTCTAAATGACAAACATTTTTATTTGAATGTTTTTATCGTCTGGTGTTTCAGAAAATTGGAATCGGGAATCTGCACTATTACGGCCTTTCGGTGGATGAGTAAACATCCTACAGGCTGGTCAAGAATCGATTTCATGTGCCGCAGCATCACCGCTCTCGTTTTGTTATCGTCGAGTCGCGAGACTTGGCGAGGCTTGACATCATGAATTTGAAATTCATCATGGCGGACAGTATGCGAGTTATTGGGTAGGTCTGCTATTATAAACATAGATATTATATCATGTAAAGCTCTGTATGATGTGATCGTAACATGAATGTGGCAATGAAATAACGAAATTCTTTGATTTATCATTTAATCGTTTGTTGCATATTTATTGAGTGCAAATGGCTAGTTGAAAACACCGGTCGACCTCCTTACTTGTCAACTCTAGCAGCCATTTTCTGGTGTCCTGATTATGACTGAATATAATCATCTGTTCTGTGTAAATACATTTTTATGACCTCGATGGATAATTTCATTTATGTCTAATGCTGTTAATGTGCAATCGATTACGTAATCAACAGGCAAGAAAGTCTGTCCAGCCAATGTCACAAAAAATGTAAACAAAGGATAAAAGCGAAGTATATCAACATGGGATCTGTCAAGATTTGACATACATACAACCGACTCGTATTCTTTCGTTCACCGGGATTTTATGTTTATTTGTATGTGTCTATTTGTGTGTGTTCGGCGTATGTATGTGTGATATCAAGATACACCGTATCCTTATGCTCTCCCTGCAATTTGTTCCATGTTTTGTTTTTTAAATATCTCTCTCCGTGATCTTTGCTGGTGATACTAGTTACTGTACTATAATGAAGAATGTCATCAGGACTTGATTCGTGCCAGAAGTTTTGTAATTGAATTTGATAATTATAAGATAAAGATATCTATATACCCTTATATACTCGTCCAATGCTTTACATTCTTTGACTTTTATGTGATTGTGACTTGAGTTTAGGAAAAACCAACTGTTGAATAGTTGTATGATTAAGGTACATATGTATTTGAAAGACTTGTACTCAGTAATCAACATATTGGCCACTTATGATACTCTTTTTTATACTTCAATAAAAGTCAAATGTAAACATGGCAAAAATATTGATATTGCTTAAATGACTTATTTGATATTTTATATATTGATAAATATATATATATAAAATATATTTAAAAAACAAAACTTTTATATTTTTACCATAATTGTATATACTTGTTCTTTTAAAATGCAATTTGCAAGAGTTGAGCTAACACAGCTATCACAGGTAACATAGTTTTTAACATTGCAATCTTGTAGTCTGATTTCAATCATGCAAGATTTCAACACTTTAGTAAGGTGTACATATACCTCCCATAGTAAGGGTATATATAAGATGATAAATAGGGAATGTTTTGTCTTTTTAATTGTACATGTGTTTTAATTATGGTAGTTTGAATGTAGTTGAAAACAAACATTATTTATGCTGGTGATTGACTTGAGAGAATGTATTCCTACAACTGTATGTACATGTATGTGACACCATAATGTTGATGAAAGTATTAAGTTACATATGAACTACTATGATAATTGATTTATTCGCACTCCGTTAGAGGGCTGATTCCTAAACAGATCAATGAGATACTTTATTTTCTGATGTTGATTAACATTTAAATTGGATGCATGCTTGTTTTATGATCAGTGTAGTTGTTTAATATACATGTAATTTATTTCTATTTTCAGATAAAAAATTATACAAATTTTAAACAATTGTATCAAAGACGAAGAGCTCCAGTAACCTGGAGAGCTACAGAACGCTAACAGGAAGTTTTAAAGTTTGAAAAAAAGGAAGATTTATCAGATATCTTATTTTATGCTGTGGTTGCCATGGCAACACTTGATGATTTCTTGCCCAATGTGACAACACAGGATACTAGGAAACGGATACAGGCTCATGGCGATCTGATCCCGTTTCTAAGTGACCCACACAGCTCTTTATCATGTGGAGATATTGATGAGTTGATCAATGGACTTGTAGGATGGGTCAACAGCAGCAACTACAAGGTATGGTGTAGCACTCGCTTCATCTGGATTACGACCTTTAACTAGTTAACCAAAATGAAATGGTAATTAGTCTAAGGCAAATAGGCCATAATTCCAATTGGATTTACTTCATGATATAGTCAGATTCCCAAAATATGTAGTTTACCGCATAAGATATTTTCTTTCCGACTGGCGTTTTCTCAAGTGAGTGGAAAAAATCTCTGGTTGGTAACTTTATTGGTTGATTATTGTAGAAGTAAGTATTGGAACATGTATCGTGAGGTATTAGGGATGTGTTGGGAATAAAAACAAACTTTGATTAAACATGAATATATGAGACCCTTTGAATTACCTGTAAGGCATCTTAAATTGCATTCATGAAGTGCTTTATTTTACAAACTTCCTAACTTAGTTTAATCTTTCAAATAAAATAACTGTATTAGTTCTGGAGTCGATATTTGTTAAAGCAGTAATTAGCTGATTTCAAAGGACAGACCTGACAAAATGATTGACTTCACATTTTCAGCAAAAACAAAATATTGATTATTCAATGATATTTTGTGACAGAAAAAATGATGGAAGATCAGTTGAAAAACTAAAGCAGTTATAAGCTATACATGTAAATTGTATGGAAAGCAAATTTATTTGTAGTCCTATCCACATCTCTTTTAAAATTGACGTTTAGTTACCATTATACTGGTCACCAATAAAAAGAACGACAGACAGAAGGGGTACACTACACAGAGCAACTTTACTGTGGTAAATCTACATAATTATGAAACATAAGTATAACATAACACAATACTGGACCCATAACACGATACTGGAACTATAACACAATACTGGACCCATAACACGATACTGGAACTATAATACAATACTGGAACTATAACATAATACTGGACCAATAACATAATACTGGACCAATAACATAATACTGGACCAATAACACAATACTGGACCCATAACACAATACTGGAACTATAACATAATACTGGACCAATAACATAATACTGGAACTATAACATAATACTGGACCAATAACACAATACTGGACCAATAACATAATACTGGACCAATAACACAATACTGGAACTATAACACAATACTGGACCAATAACACAATACTGGACCAATAACATAATACTGGACCAATAACACAATACTGGACCAATAACATAATACTGGAACTATAACACAATACTGGACCAATAACACAATACTGGACCAATAACACAATACTGGACCCATAACATAATACTGGAACTATACATAATACTGGACCAATAACACAATACTGGACCAATAACACAATACTTGACCAATAACACAATACTGGACCCATAACATAATACTGGAACTATACATAATACTGGACCAATAACATAATACTGGAACTATAACACAATACTGGACCAATAACACAATACTTGACCAATAACACAATACTGGACCCATAACATAATACTGGAACTATACATAATACTGGACCAATAACATAATACTGGAACTATACATAATACTGGAACTATAACATAATACTGGACCAATAACATAATACTGGACCAATAACACAATACTGGAACTATAACATAATACTGGACCAATAACATAATACTGGACCAATAACATAATACTTGACCAATAACACAATACTGGACCCATAACATAATACTGGAACTATACATAATACTGGACCAATAACATAATACTGGACCAATAACACAATACTGGAACTATAACATAATACTGGACCAATAACATAATACTGGACCAATAACATAATACTGCAACCTCTGTCTAAAAGAGTGAAACAAGCATACAACTTACCAAGCAGGACGAATCATACCTGTAAGAGGCACCAATGTTGTCCTGACTTATTCAATGAAAGCAAAGAAGAAATAAACAAATAGAAGTGATACAAGTGATAAAAATAGCATTCTATTTCTATGGGATTGTTAATTCAATATTTTTACTTGTAAACTTGTAAATTGTTGGTTGTCTTAGAACATGCTAATAAGATGCCGTCCTTCGATCATAATCATTAAAACAAGAATTTGGCATGGGAATGTAACATTGTAGACAAAAATACCTCAGTTAAGATGTATCAGCCAAGTTCTATGTCCCAAAAGGGGCAGTACAGAGTATTGATTTTAGCCTTTCTTCCTTGGAGGCATTTAATCTTTAATTACGTTGGGAAACTATCCTGTTTGTACATTTTGTATACATAATTATATACATAAGATGATTGCAGGTTGATACAGTAATATATTGGTATATTTTTTCAACATTGATATCTTGGTCAATAACATAATTAAAAGGCTGTGTTTATCATTTCTCATTGAAATAAATTGTCTATGAATGGAGGACTAGGGTAAAGGATGAAATTTACATAAACTATCACAAATTGAATTCCTTAGCCAGAGTTTAACATCATTTATACATATCTTCTGGTTAGCATCACTTCAGCAACCTATTTCAGTATTTTATCAAGTTCTACACTTCAGTTGAAGATTTGGAATACATTGGTACAAGAATGCAAACTTTATTTTCAGTTAACAGTTTATGTCATATGGCGCTAGGTATATGCATTCAGATGTAGATACTTATTAAAGATATCCTCAAACTGTCTCAGTTATAATCTACTGACAAGTTTTGAGGATTAAATTTATATTCCTTGATAATGAACCCAAACTATTATCAACAGAACAGAAAATCCTGCAAGATTTTCAAAACATACTGATGTTCCTCTATTAACAAATATACACTGTAATATAACTTGAAAATTGAATTTCTCTTTAAATAAACGAACCAAGTGGAATGCATTGTAAAGTATTAAGTAAATATACAGGTGTTTGTTGTGTATATTGTTGCAGGAATAAAGGATGTATAGACAAGTAGCTAGTGATTATTGTATAGACTGGCCATATTGATCAAATACATTGTAGTATCACGTACAGCTGTCCACGGCCCACTCACGTGCACAATAACAAGCCTATTGCTCTACACTGCATGTATATATTGACGTTGCATGTAGTGCAGAATTGCAGTTTTTGCAAAGCCATCAATTTCAGTTAGTCATTGTGGCGTCTGATATCCCATCAGCTGGCTTGGTGAAGAGAAGATAATAAAACAGAATTGATTATAGAAATATCGGCAATGGATTTTAGTTGTGACTAGGAAACAATTCTCAGGTACATGTAGAAATGATCGTTACACATGCGGTGAACTCTCAGTGTAATCAGCATGGCAATTTTTTATTTCACTGGACATTCAGTTTACCAGTAATGCGAACATATTGAAGGACTGGTCTTGTGGCACATGAATGAAAGCATAATTTTACCATATTAAATTCAGTATTATTTTATTGGTTTACACATGGAATAAAAGGATTTTTCCATTTGCCTGCAATTTAGTTGCTTTGTTAGATTTTCTAGTATGGAATCTCAAAATGAAATTAAATGGAGGTGTGCTGTTGTTTGGGTAAATGTGGGTTGGTGTTCAGTTTTTTGAAAATACACCAGAAATTGCACAGGTTACCAGGTAAATGGTGTCTCCAGATTATATACAATGACTATTCACTAAAGGGTCCTTCTGTATATGATCATGTCCCATGATTTATCTATACAACAGGAAGTTGATACAAAATACACTTTTTTCCTATAAATGCTCTTATAAATTGATAAGATAGCATCAATTAAAAAAAATGAGGTTGGTTTTAAAAAAATGTCAGTAAAAAAGAAAGAAGGAACGATGTTGCTTATTAATGGAGATGTATATCAGATGAAATTTCAGACATTAATGACTTTCATTTTGTCATGATCAGAATGTACATTGTCGTACCGAATAGGATATATACCTGGGTAGATCTATCTCTAATTGAGATACAATAGATACCAGGTAGTGTAATAGAAATAACTAGGTGAGGTGTTCCAGTACATGTATCACATTACTGTTTTTGTGTGGCATTTAAAATGACGTCCTGTTTCGACCTTCCCAATACTTATACATTTGTTCTCATGCCAATTTAACTGTACTGGACTTCAACTCTTTATGAGCTGGTTTATATACAGTACATATAGGTATATGCTTCTACATGACTGTATAATATGGCTGTCAATCCATCCAGGTGACTGTATGTTCCTACTAAAACCTTAGAATAGAAGACTGTTTATGACAAAAAGACTGCATACATTTTCATATGACCTTTTCATTGCAATGTCATATCAACAGTTTGTCAGAATTCAAAGTTATGGTCAAATATTTTTCCTTGTGATTTAGTTTTTGTTGGTGCCATTAATGTTAAGCATCTTCAGACAAAAATACCTCCAGGTAGCAAGAGTAAACGTCTTCAGACAAAAATACCTCCAGGTAGCAAGAGTAAATGTCTTAAGACCAAAAATATCTCCAGGCAGCAAGAGTAAATGTCTTAAGACCAAAAATACCCCCAGGTAGCAAGAGTAAACGTCTTAAGACCAAAAATACCTCCAGGTAGCAAGAGTAAACGTCTTAAGACCAAAAATACCTCCAGGTAGCAAGAGTAAATGTCTTAAAACCAAAAATACCTCCAGGTAGCAAGAGTAAATGTCTTAAGACCAAAAATATCTCCAGGTAGCAAGAGTAAATGTCTTAAGACCAAAAATACCTCCAGGTAGCAAGAGTAAACGTCTTAAGACCAAAAATACCTCCAGGTAGCAAGAGTAAACATCTTAAGACCAAAAATACCTCCAGGTAGCAAGAGTAAACATTTTAAGACCAAAAATACCTCCAGGTAGCAAGAGTGATCATCTTAAGACCAAAAATATCTCCAGGTTGGGAGTGTAAACATTTTAAGACCAAAAAAACTTCCAGGTAGCAAGAGTGATCATCTTCAGACCAAAAATACCTCCAGGTAGCGAGAGTGATCATCTTCAGACCAAAAATACCTCCAGGTAGCAAGAGTGATCATCTTCAGACCAAAAATACCTCCAGGTTGGGAGAGTAAACATTTTAAGACCAAAAATACCTCCAGGTAGCAAGAG